TCCTAAGGTGTGTGTAGAATATTTGCTACTGGATGCTCAAAATTAACACTTAATTCAAGTGACCTCCCTCTGCTCTGCTGGTTAGATGCAGTGGTGACCAAAGTGATCACTTGACCATTTGCAAGTGCAGACATCGAAGGAATGACCATGAGTGAGCGTTTTGTTTGTAATTGGCCTTTCAAAGGCGGAGGCCAGCGCTGAAGCCACAGAGCAGATCTTGCTGAATAATGATGTCGAAGCCACACTTTGGGGCTTTCATGCTTTTATCTCAAAAATTTGTCTCTATACAGTGTTTAGAATGTATGTGGTAGGTGGCCCATCCAGAGATGGGAACATGGATCTATCCATGTGACTTGTGGTTTTCATGTTACGTCTTTTATTGTTTGCTGTTTAATGCGTGCTCATTTTAATATACTTGGTACACCCGGGGTGGCTTTCTTCAGCGTATTTCTACCTGGATATTCCTCATATATTTCACTAGAGGGCGATGTCTGCAATACCGAAACCTGGCTTGGCTTTTGCGGTTCTCACTAGAAGACGCACCTGTTTGAGCTCTGGGAAGGGTCTTTTGCCTTTTAAGGGTCAATCAAAACGAGTGTTGCTGGGGGAAAATTGTGAAGTGCTTTGTGATTCAGATGTATTACCTATCACATTGGCTCTGCCTGTGCCCTGTGCAGTCAGAATGGTTCCCTCGGGACCATGGCTCTTTTCCTCAGACCACTGGCCTTGATTCCAAGGTCCAATTCATTCACGAATTGATTAATAATAGCACAAACACTTATGAAACTCCTTCACCTCCAAACTAGAACATTCCTTGCGGTGATGAGCCGTCCGCCTCATCCTCCGCCTTCCCCTTAGAGAAAATTGCCTGGCTTTGCGATTTTCATGATCTATTTAAGGCGTTTTATCTTACACACATATATTGATGCATATACAACATCATGTTCCATTCCCTTGAGTTTGAATCTGTAAAAAGAAATAATGCTATCTATTGTCTTTGGAGAATTGCTTTTTTGAGTCAGCATTGTTTCCGAGACTCACCATGTCCTGACGTGTGCTGTCCTTACCCGATTTTCCCTGCTGAGTGACTGCCCAGCCTCACCATTGCGTGAGTGTCTTACGGCTGAGTCACCAGTGCTCTGCCCATCCGGTTCAGCACCTGAGTTCTTTGCACGTTTTTCCTATCACAGACGGGGCTGCTATGCACGTTGTTATAAAGGTCTCCAGGACCTGCACAAGAATCTCTCCTGGATGTTTTGAGTTGAAATGGAGTGAATGTACAACTTATTAAGACAATGGCAAATAGTTTCCCAAACAGTTGTATTATTTTACAGCCCTTTCCTAGGAGTATGTAAATGACGAAAATTCTTGTTGTTTTTAATAGATACATAATAATTGCACATCTTTCTAGTGTAGAGAGTGATCCTTTGATGCATGCATACATTATGTAACAGCCAAATCGGCCGGGCGAGGTGGCTCACACCTATAATCCCAGCACTTTGAGAGGCCAAGGCGGGTGGATCATCTGAAGTCAGGAGTTCGAGACCAGCCTGGCCAACGTGGTAAAACCCCATCTCTACTAAAAGTGCAAAAATTAGCTGCTCATGGAGGCAGGCACCTGTAATTCTAGCTACTTGGCAGGCTGAGGCAGGAGAATCGCTGGAACCTGGGAGGCAGAGGTTGCACTGAGCCAAGATCACGCCATTGCACCCCAGCCTGGGCGACAAGTGCAATGGTGCTATCTCGGCTCAGTGCAACCTCTGCCTCCTGAGTTCTAGCACTGTAATTCTCCTGCCTCAGCCTCCCAAGTAGCTGGGATTACGGGTGTGTGCCACCATGCCCAGCTAATTTCTGGATTTTTAGTAAAGATGGGGTTTCACCATGTTGGCCTGGCTGGTCTTGAACTCCTGACCTCAGGTGATCCACCCACCTTGGCCTCCCAAAGTGTTGGGATAACAGGCATGAGCCACCACGCCTGGGCCTCTAATAATTCTTTGTACCTCTGTGGTAACAGTTGTAATGTCTCCTTTTTGACTCTGATTTCATTTATTTGAGTCTTTTTCTCTTCTTAGTTTAACTAAAGAGTTTTCAATTTTGTTTATCTGTTCAAAAAACCAACTTTTTGTTTTGTTGGTCTTTTGATTTTTTTTTTTTTTTTTAGACAGAGTCTCTCTCCCTCTCTCTACGAAGCTGGAGTGCAGTGGCCTGATACTGGATCACTGCAAGCTCCTCCTCCTGGATTCAAGCAATTCTCCTGCCTCAGTCTCCCAACTAGCTGGGACTACAGGTGCCCGACACCATGCCTGGCTCATTTTTCGTGTTTTTAGTAGAGACAGGGTTTCACCATGTTGGCCAGGCCGGTCACGATGAATGCTTTTTTAAGAGACAGGGTCAGGCTGGGAGTGGTGGCTCATGCCTGTAATCCCAGCACTTTGGGAGGCTGATGTGAGTGGATCACTTGCGGTCAGTAGTTCAAGACCAGCCTCGACAACTTGGCGAAACCCCGTCACTACTAAAAATACACAATTAGCTGGGCATGGTGGCGTGCGCCTATAGTCCCAGCTACACAGGAGGCTGAGGCAGGACAATTGCTTGAACCCGGGAGGTGGAGGTTGCAGTGAGCTGAGATCACACCATTGCACTCCAGCCTGGGCAAAAAGAGTGAAACTCCGTTTCAAAAAAGGAAAAAAAAAAAAGAGAGGGTCTTACTCTGTTTCCAGGCTGGAGTGCTGTGGCACGATCATAACTCACTGTGGCCTCAAACTCCTGGGCTCAACTGATTCTCATGGCTCAGTCTCCCAAGTTGCTGGAACTATGGGTACATGCCTCTATGCCAGACTAATTTTATGTTTATTTTTAGAAACAGGGTCTTGCTGTGTTGCCTAAATCGGTCTTGAACTCCCAGCTTCAAGCTGTCTTCTTGTCTCAGCTAAACGAAGTGCTGGGATTACGGGTGTAAGTCACTGGCTGGCTTTCTAGTCTCTGTTTCTAGGAGATAAGCTTTTTTAGTTTTCACATGGGAGTGTGAACACGTGGCATTTATCCTTCTGCGCCTGGGTTATTTCACTTAACGTCATGTTCTCCAGGCTCATCCGTGTCGATGTGAGTGACAGAATTTCATTCTCTTTCAGTGGCTAAATCACATTCCATTGTATATATATAGTCCACGTTTTTTTTATCCATTCGGCTTTTGATAGACACTAAGGCTGATTCCATATGTCAGCTATTATGAGCGGGGCCACAATAAACACGAGAGCGCAGATATGTCTTCAACATACTGATTCCCTTTCCTTTGCATATATATTCAGCAGTGGGATTACTGGATCAGATGATACAGCTTTTTCTAGGTTTTTTTTTTTTTTTTTTTTTTTTTGAGACGGAGTTTCGCTCTTGTTACCCAGGCGGGAGTGCAATGGCGCGATCTCGGCTCACCGCAACCTCCGCCTCCTGGGTTCAGGCAATTCTCCTGCCTCAGCCTCCTGAGTAGCTGGGATTACAGGCACGCGCCACCATGCCCGGCTAATTTTTTGTGTTTTTAGTAGAGACGGGGTTTCACCATGTTGACCAGGATGGTCTCGATCTCTTGACCTTGTGATCCACCCGCCTCGGCCTCCCAAAGTACTGGGATTACAGACTTGAGCCACGGCGCCCAGCCTTTTTTTTTTTTTTTTTTTTTTTTTAAGAGATGGGATCTTACTACGTTGCCTAGGCTGATCTTGAACTCCTGGCCTTGATCCTCCCGCCTTGGCCTTCCAAAGTGCTGGGATTACAGGTGTGAGCCACCATGCCAGGCCTCCGCTCTGAATCTCTGGGATTAGTCACTGGAACTCTGATTTGTTCATTTAGCCATGTTGCGTTTCTCTGACTGATCTCGATTCTTAGGGCCGTGTGCCAGTGTCCGTGCAGTGACATAGCGACTGAAGGCAGTCTTCATCATCCGGCTCTGTCTGGGCTCTTCTTTCATCAGTAAACCTATCCGAGATTAAGGAGAGGCTGATGGCTCAGGACCCTAAGCCCATGACTGCCTCAGCTCTTGTAGTGCCAGGGCGTGCCCTAAGTCCGGGATCACTGCGGTTGGAATTCTCTGGTCTCTGAGACGGACACAGCCCGGGTCACGCCTGAAGGCCATGGCTGCTGAGACCCGCACGGCACTGCCATAGCTCGCCTGCTGCTGCTGAGGCTTATTCAGCACCCAAAGTCACTGTAGCTGGGAGGTGGTGATGTGGGCCAGATCCCAAGTCCCTGTCACCGGGGTGCGTGTTCTCATCTGGCACTGGGGTGGGGTGAGATCTGCCTGTGGGTACTGGTCTAGTGTCAGGGAGCTGGGGCTCTGCCCAGCACTGGATATTATTGTAGTGAACCTAGTGTGGGTTCCCAGGCAGAGTCCTCCACTTAACCTCTTCTTCCCCCAAGCAAACAGTGTCTCTCTTCATGCTGCCGTGCTGGGGTTGGGGGAGGGGTACTCGGGTAACCCTATGGCCACTGAGGCTGACACAATACTGGGTCACACCCAGAGTCCACTGCCGTGAGACCAGCCCAGTGCCTGTACCGCCTGCCTGGAGCTGAGGTTTCTCTGTGGCCTGTGACTACCGCAGCTGGACGCAGTGATGCGGCCCGAACACAAGTCTGTCCTGCCGAGCCGGTGTGGGGCGGGTGGAGAGGCTTCCTCTGGGGGTGCCAGCCTGGCATCAGGGGCTGAGTTGCTGCTCAGTGCTGGCTTTTCCTGAAGTGGGCCTGAGCCTGGGCTGCAAAGTCCTGTGCGGGCTTCCCTGTCCTTCTCCAAGAGGGCGTTCCGGGTGAGGGTTTGGCAGTCCGTTCTGAGGAAGCATGAATGGGAAGGCGTGCGACCCAGGGTAGCGGATGTGTAGACTCGCTGTCACTTCCAGCCTAGACAGTTACCTCCCGCTAAGACCTGGCTCTTCAGCATCAGAACGGATTACATGAAGGCATATACATTGCCCCTTCTCCAGTCCTTACCTACTCGCATTGTGTTTTCGCAGCGATCCCATTGTGCCTGGCTCCCTCCCAGGAGCTCTTGCTGGAAGTGAGGTGCTGCTGTCCTGAACATCGGCCCGGCAGCTGCGGCCTGGGGTTTTGCGGTGATCACGAATGGGCAAGGTGTTTGGGCTCCTGGGACACAGCTGTCAGTCAAACCTGGCTGAGTCTCCGCGGTCCCCAGCAGATCCTGTTGGAAAGAAGGAAGCAGACAGCAACATGAAGAGGAAGGGAAAACAGCCCGGAGAACGTCCTGGGGCCTGGGAATACCATCATGGTGATTAGACCCCTCCCGTTCTCCTCTTCTGGACTGCATGTCTTTATTTATTTATTTATTTATTTATTTATTATTACTATTATTATTATTATTATTTATTTTTTTTTTTTTTGGAGACGGAGTTTTCACTCGTTACCCAGGCTGGAGTTGCAATGGCGCGATCTCGGCTCACCGCAACCTCCGCCTCCTGGGTTCAAGCAATTCTCCTGCCTCAGCCTCCTGAGTAGCTGGGATTACAGGCACGTGCCACCATGCCCAGCTAATGTTTTTTGTACTTTTTAGTAGAGACGGGGTTTCACCATGTTGACCAGGATGGTCTCGATCTCTTGACCTCATGATCCACCCACCTCGGCCTCCCAAATGCTGGGATTACAGGCTTGAGCCACCGCGCCCGGCCCTTATTATTATTATTTTTTAAGATGGGGTTTCACCATGTTGGTCAGGCTGGTCTTGAACTCCCGACCTCAGGTGATCCGCCCGCCTTGGCCTCCAAAGTGCTTGGGTTACAGGCGTGAGCCACCGCGCTCGGCCCTGACTGCATGTCAATGTTTGCCTCACCCCCTGCGCTCTGAAGCAGCAGAGCTTCGTGGCTGATGGCACCTGCTTTCTTGGGCCTGAATTTCTGTATCTTTTAGACAGGGATACAGCCTGGACTATGGTGAAACACTATCTCTAAAAAACAAAAACAAAATGGGGATAATGATCGTAGCAAGCACCTGGGTTGTTGGGAGGATTAAATGGGGTCCTCTGTGGAAGCTGCTTTCGGCCAGTGCTGGGCGCCGAGTGGCAGTTCATTAGTTCCCGCCTTGCTTGAGTGCTGATGTACCTTGGTACTGGAAGCCGAAATCTGTGTTCATCTGCAGCCCCAAATTTCTACTTTTTTATTGCCCTATGTCATAAGCCAAAGCCCTTTCCCCAAGAAGTCTGAGATTAATGGTACTTCCTCTCTCTTAAATTGCCCACCTTGTGGGGTCTGCGGAGCCTAAGGTTGGGTTGGAAGAGGGGAGGTTGGCTGCCAGGGTTCAGAGAAATGTTGTCTTTTGTTTTTCTCCTGTTCTTGTAAGTTCCTTCTGCCTTTCAGCCTCTCGGGGTGAGATTGGATTAGGCGAAGCTTCCTCACAGCTGCCTTCTGATTCCCTGCCTCCCACTGGCGGGGACTGGGCAGGGACCTCTCCACTGGAGTCCGACAGAGACACACTGGGGAGTTCCTCTTGTCTGTGAGCCCCACAGATTCACATGTGGACTCAGCTCTGAGAACACTTTGAATGAGGGGAGCCCATAATTCCCAGTCATGATTTCGCTAATGTTTCTTTCTTTTTCTTCCCCAACAACTGCTTGCTCTACTCATTTGGCAGTGAATAATTTACATTTTTAGTGACATCTCACTTTATCTAATGGGCTATTAAAACTTCTTATTACTGCCGGGCGCGGTGGCTCACGCCTGTAATCCCAGCACTTTGGGAGGCCGAGGCGGGTGGATCACGAGGTCAAGAGATCGAGACCATCCTGGTCAACATGGTGAAACCCCGTCTCTACTAAAAATACAAAACATTAGCTGGGCATGGTGGCACGTGCCTGTAATCCCAGCTACTCAGGAGGCTGAGGCAGGAGAATTGCCTGAACCCAGGAGGCGGAGGTTGCGGTGAGCCGAGATCGCGCCATTGCACTCCAGCCTGGGCGACAAGAGTGAAACTCGTCTCAAAAAAAAACTTCTTGTTACTGGACCTTTTTTTTTTTTTTTTTTTTTTTTTTTTTGAGATGGAGTTTTACTGTGTCGCCCAGTCTAGAGTGCAGTGGCACGATCTTGGCTCACTGTAACCTCCGCCTGCCAGGTTCAAGCCATTGTCCTGCCTCAGCCTCCCGAGTAGCTGGGATTACAGGCACCTGCCTTGACGCCCAGCTGATTTTTGTATTTTTAGTAGAGACGGGGTTTCACCATGTTGACCAGGCTGGTCTCGAACTCCTGACCTCAGGTGATCCGCCTGCCTTGGCCTCCCAAAGTGCTGGGATTACAGGTGTGAGCCACCGCGCCCAGCCTCGTCAACTTCCTTACCCAGGGCTTGCCCTCAGCATTTTTTCCTCTTCCCCTTATAGGCCTGGTTGGTTTACACAACATTGGACAGACCTGCTGCCTGAACTCCTTAATTCAGGTGTTTGCAATGAATGTGGACTTCACCAGGATACTGAAGAGGTAAAACTCTTCTTGAGGCTGGTCAGCATGTGTACTAATTCATTTTCAATATGTTTAGTTATTCACAGTGACTTGGACGTTTTGAGATCTCTCCAAAGTGGGCAGAGGGAAGATCTGTTTCTGCATATTCTGGACTACACATTATTTCTAAAACTTCTTAGGTTGGTCTGGGGTGGGGCCCAGGTATGGGTACTTTTTAAAAGCACTCCTTGGGTGATTTTAAAGTCCAGCCAGGATTGACGGCCACTGACTTGGTTAAAAGAGAGAGTTGGAACTAGACCGATATCGGGAAGGAGTCAGTGGCCAGTACACACCTCCTTTCCCCCCGCACTCACACAATGCGCTCTCTCTCTCTCTGTCTCTCTCTCTGTGTCCTTTTCTGCCCGTGCTCTCTCCTTTGTCCCAACCAAGTAGTGCCTGTAATTAAATGAATCATTGCCAAACCACACAGACAGCACTTCCCGCTGCCCTTTCTTCCCAGGACCCACCCCAGCATGTGCCTCTGCAGTTTGGAGAGCTTTAAGCTGGACGTTTTGCTGCTTGCCCGAGATGTGGAGCCAGGATCTTGGGCAGGGTGCAGAGGGGCCGATCCCCGTCTCCAGAAGGTCCCCTGTACGGCAGATTCACTCACGTGGTGCTTTTCAGCCTTGGCCACACATTGAAATAATCTGGGGAACGGAAACGTTCTGATAACTGGGCCCCACCCCCCAGAATTCTGGTGTAATTTGTATGGGAGTGGCCTGGATAGGGAGATTGAAAATTTTTCCCAAGTGATTCCAGCATGCACCTAGCTTCAAGAACTATGCGTAAGGAGGTTTCTGGCCATTCTTGTGTGGCAGGATCACGGTGCCCAGGGGAGCTGACGAGCAGAGGAGAAGTGTCCCTTTCCAGCTGCTTCTGCTGTTGGAGAAGATGCAGGACAGCCGGCAGAAAGCAGTGCGGCCCCTGGAGCTGGCCTATTGCCTACAGAAGTACAACGTGCCCCGTAAGACACCCTCCTGCTGATCCGAAGTGGGTGGGAAGCTTAGAGAGGAAGTAACACCAGTGAAGCGATGAGAAACAAGTTAGGTAGCCTGGATCTCTCGGATGATAGAGACATTTGTGTAAGAGGCATACATTTTTGGAGGTGCAGAATCGATATTATTTATGAACATTTTATTTCCTTAGCACCCTTTTCTGCTTTTTTTTTTTTTTTTTGAGACGGAGTTTCGCTCCTGCTACCCAGGGTGGAGTGCAATGGCGTGATCTCGGCTCACCGCAACCTCCGCCTCCTGGGTTCAGGCAATTCTCCTGCCTCAGCCTCCTGGGATTACAGGCACGCGCCACCATGCCCAGCTAATTTTTAGTATTTTTAGTAGAGACGGGGTTTCACCATGTTGACCAGGATGGTATCGATCTCTTGACCTCGTGATCCACCCGCCTCAGCCTCCCAAAGCGCTGGGATTACAGGCGTGAGCCACCGCGCCCGGCCTGTTTGTTTATTGATCGCTTCGTATGTAGTGCCAACTTAGCCTTTCGGTGGGGTGGGGGGCTAGGCAGAGACAAAGTGGTGAGTGTTTGTGTGCATCTAGGTACCAGGGCATAAGAAGTGCGTCTGAGGACCTCACTAATGGGCTGTTCCTTTTCTCTGTGGCCAGTGTTTGTCCAGCATGATGCTGCCCAACTCTACCTCAAAATCTGGAACCTGATTAAGGACCAGATCGCTGATGTGGACTTGGTAAGAACCTAGGACCGGAGCGCCTGGAAGCTTAAGATGCTGCTCGTTTAACTCATTCAGCTATTGTCCCTGTCGCGTGTAGAGGGAAAGAGTTATTCCACAGAAAATGCTTATCACAGTTTCCTAATATTGTTACTGGGATTATTTGTCACCTTTGTGAGTAGGACAAAGAGCATTAGCGGCTCCAGTTTCTGCAGCTTCTGTCTCTTGGCTCCAACTTCTGGCAGTTGGCCTGGCCTGGCTTACGGTGTCACTTGTGTCTGGCCTCTCTGCTCCCTCCTGCAGGTGGGGAAGCTGCAGGCCCTGTACATGATCCGGATGAAGGACTCTTTGATCTGCCTGGACTGTGCCGTGGAGAGAAGCAGAAACAGCACCATGCTGACCCTCCCACTTTCTCTTTTTGACGTGGACTCGAAGCCCCTGAAGACGTTGGTAAGGAGAGTCTCTCGGTATTTGCTGCTCCCGTATGTGTTAATCTATCATCTGTTGTCACAACTCAGTGTCTGAGAGTAGGTGATGTCGCTCTTGCACTTCTGGAGGCGGGAAGTCAAGGTGGAGGGGCTGCGCCTGGTGAGGGTCTGCTTGCTGGTCCCGAGGCGAGTCCATGCGGGGCATCACATGGTGAGGGGGCCGAGCATGCTAATGTGCCAGCTCAAGTCTCTCTTCCTCTTCATATGAAGCCACCTGTCCCACTCTCGGGATAACCATTAACCCATTAATCCATGAGTGGATTAATTCATTTATGAGGGTTGTGCCCTCATGACCCAATGACCTCCCTCTATCTTTTTGGAGACGGAGTCTTCCTCTGTCACCCGGGCTGGAGTGCAGTGGCGTGATCTCGGCTCACTGCAGTCTCCACCTCCCGGGTTCAAGCGATTCTCCTGCCTCAGTCTCCCAAGTAGCTGGGATTACAGGTGCCTGCCACGACGCCGGGCTAATTTTTCTATTTTTAGTAGGGGCAGGGTTTCCCCATGTTGGCCAGGCTGGTCTCAAACTCCTGACTTAAGTGATCTGCCTGCGTCGGCCTCCCAAAGTCTTGTGATTACAGGCGTGAGCCACCGTGCCCTGTAATCATCTCTCAAAGGCCCCACCTGTCCACACAGCCACACTGGGGATTCAGTTTCAAGCTGGCTTTTGGGGCGGACAAACACTGAAACCATATCAGCACATAGCACAGTGCTGCCAGCTCCGCCTTGCCTCTGGGATCTAGCACGGGCTTCCGAGCAGTTGCTTCCTTCATTTTCATGGCTCTGCCAGTTTCTCCTTTGTTCCGGCAAAAATCTTTTCCCCTCCCACCTCCTCTTCCCTCACACTGCTCGCCTAACAGGAGCCCCCTCCTGTTTCATTCCTCTAGTCAGGAGGTGACCTTTGAGATCCTGCCAAGGGGACCACACCAGGCCAGGCATTACGAGGGATATGAAGGGAAGAAAAGCTGAACCCCTCAGCTGCAAAGTGTGGGGAGGCTGTACCTGATACAATTGGGGGTCTGTGTCGCTGCCCAAAAAATTTCGTGTTCAGTGGTAATCCCCAGTGTTGGCAGTAGGGCCTGGTGGGAGGAGATGGGGTCATGGGGGAGGGTTTCTCATGTTTTGGCACCATCCCCCATGGTGCTATCTTTGTGACAGTGAGTTCTTATGAGACCTTGAGTTCTCTCAAGATCTCACACTTGTTTAAAAGTATGCAGCCAGGCTGGGCGCAGTGGCTCATACCTGTAATCCCAGCACTTCGGGAGGCTGTGGCGGGCGGGACACCTCAGGTCAGGAGTTCGAGACCAGCCTGGCCAACATGGTAAAACGCTGTCTCTACTAAAAACACACAAAAAAATTAGCCGGGCATGGTGACATGGCCTGCAGTCCCAGCTGCTTGGGAGGCCGAGTCAGGAAAATCGCTTGAACCCGGGAGGTGGAGGTTGCAGCGAGCTGAGATGGCGCCATTGCGCCCCAGCTCCCCACTTGATCTCTTGCACCTGCCCCTCCCGTGTAAGATGCCTGCTCCTGCTTGGCGCGCCGCCATGATTGGGACTTCCTGCGGCCTCCTCGGAAGCAGATGCCACCATGCTTCCTGTCAGCCTGCAGAGCCATGAGCCAATCAAGCCTTTTTTCTTAGAAGTTACCCAGTCTCAGCTATTTCCTCATAGCAGTGTGAGAACAGATGAATACAGTCCTCGAGGCGGGAGATGCCAACGCTGCCTTTCCCCCCGTTCTCTTGGGTGGGGCAGGAGGATGCCCTGCACTGCTTCTTCGAGCCCAGGGAGTTATCGAGCAAGAGCACGTGCTTCTGTGACAACTGTGGGAAGAAGACTCGTGGGAAACAGGTACTAATTCCCTGAATCAGACTCGGCTGTCCCTCGGTGCACACACGGGGTTGGTTCGAGGACCCCTGCATTTACCAAAATCCGCACATACCCAAGTGCCCCAGTCAGCCCTGCGGAACCCACGTATGGGAAACGTCGGTCCCTCGTCTATGCGGTTGTGCATCTGGTGTGTTGTATTTTTGATGAGCGTTTGGTTGCAGATCTGGAACTCGTGCTTATGGGGGAGGGCAGACTGTACTTATTTAAAACAATTCGTGTATTCGGCGGACCCACACAATCTAACCCCATGCCCTTCACGGGTCAACTGTCCTTCACTAGTCTGGGGTTGCCCCCTGTGGATTTCCTGATAGAATTGTCAGAGGCCCTGAGGGGACTTCGTGGTGGGTGAGAAAGGGAATCTGGGTGTGGCTCGTATCTGGGATCCCGGGGTTCTGATCTCTAGAGCCATGGATGTGGCTTCTCAGGTCGCATCACTGAGAGGGACCAGAGGAGAAGGCCTGAGAGCAGCCGGAGGGCATTTCCCTCAGGGTGAGATGAGCTCCCTGGAGCAGACGCTGTGGCTCCCTGGGTCCTGGCACCTGTGCAGAGCCCTGTGCCCTTGTGCCTCTTGTGGGGACCCCGTGATGGCAGAATAGCCACGTTTTGCATTATTCGCGGAGGAGCTCAGCAGATTCAGCGAATGGGAGCCTTGAACTCCCCGACGTCACCCTGCGTCCTCTTTTCTGGGATGAACGTGCCACTGGTCCTGACATTTCTTTCACGCCCATTCCAAGTGGACGTTATCTCCAGAGTGATTTTGCTTTTTCAGGTCTTGAAGCTGACCCATTTGCCCCAGACCCTGACCATCCACCTCATGCGATTCTCCATCAGGAATTCACAGACGAGAAAGGTCTGCCACTCCCTGTACTTCCCCCAGAGCCTGGATTTGAGCCAGGTGCTTCCGACGAAGCGAGAGCTCCGTGACGCTGACGAGCAGGTGGGACGTTCTGACTCCGCCACCCTGCCTCTCCCCGGATGCTGCATTTTTCCTGTTTTCCCTTCCCTCGCTCCCAGTCTGCTAGAAGCCACCCATGGCTGCCCAGCCTCAAAAGACTTTCTTCTTTCTAAATATTGGATTTGTGTATATATGCCTCACAGCACTGAGGGACGGAATCCAGAATTCAGTAGGCTTCTTTGGAAATAATGTGGAATACATAGAAATGCATAGGCAAACATGCCACCGTGGGTTCTTAGAACCAACCACACTTTCTTTTTTTTTTTTTTTTTTTGAGACGGAGTTTCGCTCTTGTTACCCAGGCTGGAGTGCAATGGCGCGATCTCGGCTCACCGCAACCTCCGCCTCCTGGGTTCAGGCAATTCTCCTGCCTCAGCCTCCTGAGTAGCTGGGATTACAGGCACGCATCACCATGCCCAGCTCATTTTTGTATTTTTAGTAGAGACGGGGGTTTCACCTTGTTGACCAGGATGGTCTCGATCTTTCGACCTCGCGATCCACCCGCCTCGGCCTCCCAAAGTGCTGTGATTACAGGCTTGAGCCACCGCGCCCGGCCCATACTTTCTTATTCAAATGGCCTGGGCTCACTTTGAGGATAATCACAAAGTAGCCAGTTGACTGGACACACTTAATCAGAGTAAAGTTAAATTCACTTGTCCTGAGACAACTTATTGAGAGATTCTGAGGGGAAAAAAAAAAAAAAATGACACAAGGCCAGGTGATGTGGCTCATGCCTGTAATCCCAGCACCTGGAAAGGCTGAGGCAGGAGGATCACTTGAGCCCAGGAGTTCAAGACCTGCCTGGGCAACACAGTGAGACCCCATCTCTAAAAAAAAAAAAATTAGCTGGCTGGTAATCCTAGCACTTTGGGAGACTGACGCAGGTGGATTACGAGGTCAGGAGTTCAAGACCAGACTGGTCAACATGGTGAAACTCCATCTCTACTAAAAAATACAAAAATTATCTGGGCATGGTGGCTCATGCCTGTAATCCCAGCTATTTGGGAGGCTGAGGTAAGAGAATTGCTTGAACTGGGACATGGGAGGCGGAGGTTGCAGGGAGCGGAGATCACGCCACTGCACTCCAGCCTGGGCTACAGAGTGAGACTCCATCTCAAAAAAAAAAAAAAAAAAAAAAATTGGCCGGGCGCAGTGGCTCAAGCCTGTAATCCCAGCACTTTGGGAGGCCGAGGCGGGTGGATCACGAGGTCAAGAGATCGAGACCATCCTGGTCAACATGGTGAAACCCCGTCTCTACTAAAAATACAAAAAATTAGCTGGGCATGGTGGCGCGTGCCTGTAATCCCAGCTACTCAGGAGGCTGAGGCAGGAGAATTGCCTGAACCCAGGAGGCAGAGGTTGCGGTGAGCCGAGATCGCGCCATTGCACTCCAGCCTGGGTAACAAGAGCAAAACTCCGTCTCAAAAAAAAAAAAAAAAAAAAAAAAAAAAAGAATAAACACTCAGAACATAACCAACTCCACGTGGTAATCCTTTGATAGCATCAAATATCTGGTCAATGTGCAGACGTCCTGACGATTCTAGAATCCACGTGGCTTGTTTGAATCTAGATGCAAACAATGCCGACACTTGCATTTGGTTAAGTTTCTTCTCTTTTCTTGATTAAGTTCCCTTTAGATTGCTGTTGCGTTTCTTTTCCTTGCAGTTGATTTGGTTGAAGACTTTTTAAATATGCTAGAACTGGCTGGCTGGTGTCATTCAACGTGTTCCTCTAACCCTTTTATTTCTTGTAAACTAATATTCAGGTACAGGTAATTGCCCTGCGTTTTATAAAGTCCCACACAAGGTCCGCAAATGGAAATAGGGGATAACTGGGGCCTGCAGTGTGGGTGACTCAGCTTTGCCTGTGACGCCCTTGCCCTCTGTCTCCCCTCCCCCTACAAAGACTTTTTTTTTTTTTGAGACGGAGTTTCGCTCTCGTTACCCAGGCTGGAGTGCAATGGCGCGATCTCGGCTCACTGCAACCTCCGCCTCCTGGGTTCAGGCAATTCTCCTGCCTCAGGCTCCTGAGCAGCTGGGACTACAGGCGTGTGCCACCATGCCCAGCTAGTTTTTGGTATTTTGTTGGTAGAGACGGGGTTTCACCATGTTGACCAGGATGGTCTCGATCTCTTGACCTCGTGATCCCCCCGCCTCGGCCTCCCAAAGTGCTGGGATTATAGGCATGAGCCACCACGCCCGGCCGACTTTTTTGGCCCTATACAGTGGCTCAGGTTACGGACAGTCCTGGGCTTGTGGAGAAACAGAACTGTGTTCTGATGACCCCCACCCCTCCCAGGGGGAGGTTCTAATCGTGCCTGGCTTTGGGGGCTGTCTCGTGACCTCCCGCCATCTGTCTCCCATGTGCTCCGCTCTGCCAAGCTGCTGAGCCTTTGCAGTTCAGGATCCGCACTCAGGAAAGCCCCTCCGGTAAGGTGCCCGCTGGCCATGGGACGGGACTGTGGTCTAATATTCTGAAGTCCCATAGTCGGGCCTAGGGTGGGCAGGTATACAGGTGCGGTGCAGCCGTGTTTGTGGTGGCGGGTGAAGTGTCTCATGCCCATCTCTTTCCAGCCCGAGGGGCAGTATGAGCTCTTCGCTGTGGTTGCACACGTGGGAATGGCGCACTCCGGTCATTACTGTGCCTACATCCGGAATGTTGTGGACGGAAGATGGTTCTGCTTCAATGACTCCAATATTTGCTCGGTGAGAAACGTCAATTCACAATCGCCTCCTGCCTGGGATCGGCCACCTCTAACAAACGCTGGGCCCCGGGCTTCGTGGATCTCCGAGATCAACACACTGTGGTCCCGCCGTCTGGGTGTGGGGCCTTTTATGAGGGTGCACGCCTTTTTCGGCCTGAAGTCCCCACGTGGTTTACACCTCTGTTCACTTCCCTCCACTTCTAAGTTTTTGGTGCTCTAGGCTCACACCCTGCGGCTTCATGCTTTGTGGGAAATGTCTAGAGAGCAAGCAGAGTTAGAAATGTGTAAGTTAGGATCCAGGATACGCATGACCGGGTTTAAACACGGGGACAAAGGCGATCCATAGACTTCACTGCACATGACATCTTGCGGCTGATACTCCAGGCTCTTGGGAGTTGCTAGGGGTGGGCTTGTCTGGAGGGTGAGGGGCACATGATAGCTCCCTGTCCTCTGTGGGTGCTCACAAGTGTCAGCTGGTGGCTGCTTAACCTCATTTGTTTCCGGCTTCCAGGTGTCCTGGGAAGACATCCAGTGTACCTACGGAAATCCTAACTACCACTGGTAAGAAACGTATTTGGATAACGGGAGCCCGATGAGCTCATATAGGGTCCTTGGAGCTGCATGAAATGCCCGTGGATACCCCTGTGATTGACATGCTGATGGCTCACGGTCTGCCTCATCTTCAGCACTCACCCTGCTTCCCAGCTTGCCTCACACATCACACTCCAGGAATATTAAAGCAAAGATCACAACTTTTTTTTAAATGTGATTTTTAGAGATGGAGTCTTGCTTTGTGGCCCAGGCTGGAGCACTGTGGTGTGTTCGTAGCTCACTGCAGCCTTGAACCCCTGATAACAGGCCATCCTCCCACCTCAGCCTCCTGAATAGCTGGGACTACAGGCATGCACGACCATGCCTGGCATATTTTTTAAAAAATTGTTTGTAGAGATGAGGTCTCGCTATGTTGCCAGGCTGGTCTCAAACTCCTGGGCTTAAGCCAGCTGCCCATTTCAGCCTCCCAAAGTGCTGGGATTACAGGAGTGAGCCACCGCGCCCGGCCACTGGTTTTTAAAATTGTTTGCTTACATAACTTGCCCTAACATTAGACTATGAACTCTTTCGGGGGAAGGATGACTTTTTTCGTATTTCTTTGGCTTGCATTAGTAAGTATCAATAAATATGTTTATAACCAATGACCAGAGAGGAGAAGCTGGAGAGAAGGCGGCTGGATGAAATTACAGCAGAGAGACTTTGTAAGTTTTCTTAGCTGAGCTTTGAGGTTTATGTCAGAAACGCTATCTGAGGTGATTTTCAGCTACAGAGGTAGGCCTGGTCATTTGAAAAGTAATGGATTAGGTGAAGCTCGTGTTTGAAATCTTCATTCTGCTTTTCATCTTCCTCTCCCGTTTTTTCTGAGCATCCTCTTAGACACCCAATCTCTGCCACTTAGTGGCTGCCATTGATTTCCCTTTACTGAGATCAAAGGTTGGCAGCCTTCCCCTGGAAAGGGCTGGAGAGAAAGCTCTTCAGGCTTTGTGGTCTGTACAGTGCCTGCTGCAGCCATGGAACTCTGCCCTGTGGAGCAAAGGCAGCCACAGACAGTACCTGGGCGAATGAGCGTGGCTGGGGGGCAGTTAAATTTATTTCCAAAGAGGGGCTTGGAGGCTGGGTGTGGGCTCGCACCTTTAATTCCAGTACTTTGGGAGGCCGAGGCGGGAGGATCACTATCAGCCAGGAGTTCAAGACCAGCCTGGGCAACAAAGCAAGACCCATCTCTACAAAATATGTAAAAGTTATAGCTAGGCGTGATGGTACACACCCGGAGTCCTAGCTCCTCAGGAAGCTAAAGCTGAGGCAGGAGGATCACTTGAGCCCAGGAGGACGAGGCTGTGGTGAGCTATGACTGTGCCAGTGCTCTCCAGCCTGGTGACAAAGCAAGAACCGGTTTCATCAAAAAACGAACAATGCGTGTTCTCACTCTTACATATGGGAGCTAAACACTGGGTACTCATAGACTTAAAGATGGCAGCAAGAGACACGGGGAACTGCTGGACGGTGGGGGCTGGGGGGCAGGCGACAACCTAACTGTTGTGTGCTGTGCTCATACACCCGTGACGAGCCTGCACATGTGCCCGCTGAATCTGACATAAAAGTTCAAAGTTTAAAAACTCGACAGGGTTGGATTTGGCTTGTGTGCCTGAAGCTTGTTAGCCTCTGCTTTAGACATTAACTAACAGAAACTTAGTGCTTATCTTCCCAAGGCCATCTATTTTCTTTTGTTGTTGTTTTGAGAAGGAGTTTCGCTCTTGTTACCCAGGCTGGAGTGCAATGGCGCGATCTCGGCTCACCGCAACCTCCGCCTCCTGGGTTCAGGCAATTCTCCTGCCTCAGCCTCCTGAGTAGCTGGGATTACAGGCACGCGCCACCATGCCCAGCTAATTTTTTTTGTATTTTTAGTAGAGACGGGGTTTCACCATGTTGACCAGGATGGTCTCGATCTCTCGACCTCGTGATCCACCCGCCTCGGCCTCCCAAAGTGCTGGGATTACAGGCTTGAGCCACCGCACCCGGCTAAGCCATCTATTTTCTTCTTCTCCGAAGTGATGGATAGATAAAGGCTTGATCCAGCTGCCTGGATGTTTGCTGACACTCCTCCCATCACGGATTAATGAAGCATCGTTTTCTGATGAAGGTTTCATGCTGCTGTGCTGATGCGTCTTCTCTTCTCTCTAGGCAAGAAACTGCGTATCTTCTGGTTTACATGAAGGCGAAATGCTAATGGATATGCCCAAAACCTTCAGAGATGGACACACTGTTATTTTCCACTTCCGTCCTGGATCTATGGAGTCTTCTAAGAAATTTTGCAATCAGGAGAAGAATCGTTTTCCAACTATATAATTGAGCCTTATTTATGATCAGGGATATCATCAAAACATTTAACACTGAAACCCTGCAGGACCTGATCAGGCAGGATGGACGCTTTCACCAGCGGACCCGGCCATGTGGCTGCTGGGTCTTAGGTGCCCCCTGCTGTGGTCAGCCCTTTAGTTAGGAGCCTGTGGGAGGTCCAGGTGCTCCAGGGAGGAGCGCAGTGGCAGTGGGGTGCATCTGGATGCTAAGGGTCAGTGGCTGTGGGTGTTTCAGTATTTCACAACTGCTGTGCCCAGACTTGTGTGTACTGGCTGAATATCAGTGCTGTTTTTAATTTCTCAGTTTTAGAACCAGTATTAATCCATATAAATCAAGCATTTTGTAACTGTTATTCTTGTATTCAGCAAATATTTATTGACAATCTGTTCTCCGTAAGAGAGTGTGATAGCACAGTAATGAATATAGTTCTTTTCCACAAGAGGAGTTTGCAATTTAATGTGGGGCAGTAGGCTTCGTGCTCTAGGAATTCGAAGGACAGGGAAGTCACTTCTGTTGTGGGGCCCTGGGAGGAGGCTCCAGGCTGGAAAGGCTTAGGGTGGAGACCCCAATAGGGACAGCGTGAGGAGTGGACTGGCTGCAAAAGGCCACTCAGCATTCAGAGAGCATCCACACACACAGCTTTTCTCCACGAGGGGTGGGGAAGGCTGGGAATGGGAAGGCAGGTGGAGCTCAGCACATGGAGGGCATCCAGCCAGCCCTGGAAGCTTGCACCTGGTCCGGTGGGTGCCCTGAAGGAGCCTGAGAAGGAGAGGAGCACTCAGTTGTGTTCTGCTGACGTCGATCTGCTGCTGGGGTTAGAGACAAATGTGGGGATGGAAAGCCATCACAGTCGCTAGCGTCACTTTGGGGGAAGAGTGGGCGTGGCTGCTGAGAGAACAGGCCCAGGGAGAGCCCGGCACCAACCTGGGAGGTGAGCCCCCTGGGTGTGAGCACCCCCACTTTACAGATGACGGGATGGAGACATTCAGATGTTTAACTCTTGTACAAGATCCCACACTTGGTAAGTGGCAGACCAAACTCCCAACTGAAGATGTAGGTCATTGCTTTACTATTTTATTTGTGTTGTTAACAATGATTAGGCATACAAGAGTAAATTACTGTAAAATCTTCAGACAACGTAGATAAGGAGGGGATTCCTTGGAGCTTGCCCTTATCAGATGGGTGGATGAGCGTCCTGGGGCGTCTGGAACTGCCAGGGACTGGGTTTCTTACGATGACAGAAATGCACGGTGTCCCAGCGCCGGAGGCCGGAAGCCCACACTCGAGGGGCGCAAAGGGCTGGCTCCTGAGGAGGCCTGTTCCCTGCCTCTCAGCCTCTGCTGCTTGCCAGCAGTTGTCATTCATTCGCTTATTGCTGTGTCACTCCAGCCACCGCCTCCATCTGCACATGGCCTTCTCTTTTCTTTGCAGAGATGAGGTCTTGCTCTGTTGCCCACACTGGAGTGCAGTGGTGCGATCACGGCTCACTGCAGCCTTGAACTCCTGTGCTCAAGTGATTCTCTTGCCTCAGCTTGCCCAGTTGCTGAGACTACAGGCACATGCCACCATACCAGCCTACTTTGTAAGTTTTGTTTATTTTTGTAGAGATAGAATATCACTATGTTGCCCAGGGTGGTCTTGAACTTCTGACCTCAAGCAGTCCTCCTGCCTCAACCTTCCGGAGTGCTGGGATTGCAGGTGTGAGCCACAGTGCCTGGCCAGTTCTGATGATATCTACACAGGCATCAATCAGTCCTCAGGGCTCAGCAGCCTCCAGGGGCATGAGGAATGAGGAAAGACGTGATGGTCCCATCCATGCCAGCCCAGGGTCTAGGACGTGTGTGGTCTGAGAGCTTCTGGTGATCACTGGGTCCTGTAGCCCCAAGCCCAGCTCCACTGAGCAGCTCTGAGTGAGGTTGCGTTCCCTCCAACTGCTCGTTCCAGTCTCTGGGACTGTCCTCTCCCGATGCTCAGAGGAAGGTCTCCCCTCACCCCATGGTCATCTGCTGCTCATGCCCAGACTTCAGTGGGCCTGAGGACACTAGGGAACGAGGGACATTCTCACATGAAGACCCATCCCGCAGAGAACTGACGAAGGATCAAGGATTCATATATGGGCCGTGTCCCTGCTCTGGGAGTGTGGGCCAGCTGAACGGATCTCGGGTGGGCAGGACCCCTCCTGTGTTGGGGGACAGCTTGGGTGGTTGGGATTGTCATTGACCATGGTGACAGGATTAGGTTGAGTATCACAAAGGCCCTGGACCCTTAGGTGTGTGGGGAGCTTTGCTAAAAGCACAGAGTTCATGGCTTTCACCCGTTCCCGTTTTGGGTGTTCGGGTCCCCTGCAGGGCATCGTCCTCACAGCTGGAGCAGCCTGGCCCTGTTCTCAGGCCCTGTCCTGTGCAGTGGTCATTATGGGAATACTGGGCTCATGCCCATCACAGAAGGGCCTCCTTTGGGGCCCGGATGCAAACTAGAGCATCCCAAGGAGGCTGTCACCATTTTGGTGACACTTTCCAGTGTGGCCCGGTGGTGTCAGGCTCCTGGTCACGAGGGTGAACTTCCCTCCGCCTCAGCCATTCGCCTTGGACGGAGGAAGGCAGGTGGGGTTGACACGGGGGTGACTTCTAATGAATGGAGAGGCTGCCTTTGTTCCTCAGCCTGAGCCTGTCGAGAAGAATGAGGTCGGCAGCGCCGCCTGAGCTCCCTCCCTGCTTGCCTCGATCCAGTCAGCCCGGGGCTGCGACGGGGCCCTGCCTCGACGGCCTTGGGGGAAGGGGACGCCGCGGGGCGCCGGTGGCGCGGGGCCCGGGGCGCGCCGCCATGGGCCTGGCGGGGCTGCAGGAAGAGAACGCAGTTACACATCACGAAGCCAAATGCCAGGGGAAACCATGAGCCGGAATCTACAGGAAACGAGAAGAGAAAAGAAATGCGAGGAACGCAGCACGGAGCGCCACGAAGTCCGAGGAACGGAAGATCAAAGATGCCGGGAGAGGCCCCCTGGCGCCTTTTCCAAACCAAAAAGCAGCAGAACCTCCAAAAACTCCACCCTCGTCTTGTCATTCCGCCAATGCAGCCGTCGCCAAGCAAGCCCTGTCGCCAAACAGCTCCCCCTCCCCGTCCCCGAAAAAAAGCTCAAGGAAAAAAACGCAACAGAATCGCAGACTTCACGGATTTCGACCCCGTCCGAAGGAGCTCCAGGAAGAGCAACGCTGAGCTGCAGTCTGAAGAAAGGAGAAGAATAGATGAATGGATTGAAAGTGGGAAGGAAGAAGGAACGAAGATTGACCGCATCGATGGCAAAGGCAGGGGTGTGATTGCCACCAAGCAGTTCTCCCGCGGTGACTTTGTGGCGGAATACCACGGGGACCTCGCTGAGATCACCGACGCCAAGCAGCGGGAGGCTCTGTACGCACAGGACCCTTCCACGGGCTGCTGCATGTACTGTTTTCAGTATCTGAGCAAAGCCTCCTGCGTGGACGCGGCTAGACACACAAATCGCCTAGGAAGACGGATGAATCACAGCAGAGGTGGGAACTGCCGAACCAGCCTGCACGACATCCATGGCGTACCTCACCTCATCCTCATCATCCCCCGGGACATCGTGGCTGGGGAGGAGCTCCCGTGTGACTACGGGGACGGCAGCAAGGCTTCCACTGAAGCCCACCTGTGGCTGAAGCATTGACCGGCGGGCCCTGCGCCTTCCCACCCCACTGTCCCTTCTTCAAAGTGCAAAGTGCCCTCAAAGGGAATTGATTTTTTTTTATTACACACTTCATCTTAGCAGATTACTTCACATGTTTTTTAAAAAGTATATTAAGATGCCTTTTCACTGGGCACAAGGCAGGACGGAGCTGGAAGCTGAGGATGTCTCTGGGGTGAGGGGATGGGAAGGAGGTGGGGAGGTGGTGGCCAGAGATGTGCCAGAGAGCAAATGGTACCCGTGGCTTCTTTACCTTTGCGCCTCTCTGAGTTGATGCGCCGCAAATACTGGATGTCCACCACTCTGGGATATAACACGGCAGGCTCTGCAGTGGTGGATGCTGGCGCTGCAGCTGCCGCAGAGTCTCGGATTCACAGCAAGGCACCACCTTCTGCCTGCAGCAGGCACAACAGAGCCCAGCCCTGGGGCCTAGGCAGCAAAGGAATGTATTTTCCATGGTGATACAGAAGGGGACCTTCAAAACAAAGCCCCACACAAAATTAAAAAAACAAACAAAAAAAAGAAAACAACAACAAAAAAGAAAAAACAAAACAAAGCAACACACACACACACACACACAAAAAGACGACGAACAACAAAGAAACAAAGCAACAGAGCAAGCGCCAAGGGCACAGACGCTTCCGTGAGAGCAGTCGGAGCTCCTCCTCTCCCTACTAACAGCTTCCGACTGAAGGCTGCTGGCCCTGGCTGGTGCCTGTCACCCACAAAGCCTCCTATGTCACCTCGATACCAGGAAACAACAAAGTCAGGCCAGTGGCTCACAATGCCATGCCCCACAACCCATCCAATGGCTCACAATGCCCATCCCTGCTGCTGGCCACCTGTGGCCACCCTGCCCCTCTTGGTGACGGCATTATTCATCCTGGGCTGCCTGAGATAGCCCGTTTTTCACTATATGCCTCAAGGGGCTCTGAAATGTCCCTTCATAGATTCTGTACAGACAGCGTGTCTAACCTGTGAATAAAAACTAAGGTTTCATTCTGCGTGATAAATCCACAATCACAAAGCATTTTCCCAGAATCCTCTGGGGCCCACCTCTCACCTTCAGCTTCCTGCTCCTGGTTATCTGGGCTTCTGTCTTGTGTGCTCTGTCAGGTTTAGGCCTTTTAAGGGTGGGTTCCATGTCTCCACTCATTTACATGTGCCCAGTAGGGCTGGCTCTTGGGAGGGTCTTCACGGTGACTGAGGCCATGGATCCTTCACACTGTTCCTTGAATCCACTTGACATGAAATACTCATCCTGAAACGATGCTTTGAAAGTGATGCTTCCAGTCAATTATGGGTCCACTGTATTATGAGTCCCTGGCACCCAATACATGGCACATAAGAAATGAATGAAAAATAGTGAGTGAATGAACAAGTGTGCCTACAAGGTGAGAGAAAAGTGGTCCTACTTACTAGGTGTGCTACGAAGGCATGTGGGACTGTTGGATTCGCTATTTCATAGTAGGCCTGGGGCTTTGAAGCCTGGCATTTCCTCATTCTAAACCTCAAATTCCAATAAATTACCACCAAGTGGACAGAGGTCCACGGGCCAGAGCTCTTGGTGTGAACAACGTACCTTTTTTGGGTGTGATTAATGGACAGGGACTATACAAAACTAAAAACAACGTGTGCTGACTACCTGCAAGCCGTGGTGATAAAGCACTCTGTATACATGATCTTATTCAATGCTTGTTACAAACCCATGAGGTGGATTTTTAGACAAGCTTTCTATTCTAGAGCTTTTTTTTGTTTTGTTTTGTTTTTTGTGTTTTTTTTGTTTTTTTTGAGACAGAGTTTCGCTCTTGTTACCCAGGCTGGAGTGCAATGGCGCGATCTCGGCTCACCGCAACCTCCGCCTCCTGGGTTCAGGCAATTCTCCTGCCTCAGCCTCCTGAGTTGCTGGGATTACAGGCACGCGCCACCATGCCCAGCTAATTTTTTTGTAATTTTAGTAGAGACGGGGTTTCACCATGTTGACCAGGATAGTCTCGATCTCTTGACCTCGTGATCCGCCCGCCTCGGCCTCCCAAAGTGCTGGGATTACAGGCTTGAGCCACCGCGCCCGGCTCTAGAGCTTTTTCAACGAGAGGCTAGTGTAGTGAGCTTTCCCCTACTCAGCAGCAGATTCAGATATTTGTTATCTCATGGCCAGTCTCGTTACATGTACACTCCTACATGCTTCTCCTCTTCCTCTCATGATTTTACAGCAAATCCCACACATCATATAACTTCCCCCCGACTGTCTTGGTATATGTCTGTAAAAGATACGATTCTTGTTTGTTCTTTCAAGACAAGGTCTCTGTTACCCAGGCTGGAGTTCAGTGGCATGATCTTGGTTCACTGTGGCCTCTCCTGCCTCAGCTTCCTGAGTAGCTGCAATTACAGACTCACATCACCATGCCCAGCTAATTTTTTTATTTGTATTTTAGTAGAGACAGGGTCTTGCTATGTTGCCCGGGCTGGTCTAGAATTCCTGGATTCAAAGGCTCTTCCCGCCTTGACCTCCCACACTACTGAGATTATAGGTGTGAACCACTGTGCCCGGAGACAAGAACTCTTTAAAAAATGTAATCCCAATACCATCATCAACCAACCTTCTCACCACTGCTTTTTATCACTGTCAACTGTCCTGCTAGCTCCAGATTTCCAGTCATCTCATATATTTATGGTTTGAATCAGGATCCAAATAAAGTCTCTCTTTGGGATTGTTTGATTCACCTCTTAGGTCTTTTATGATCCTGACAGCTTCCCATTTTGATCTGTGTTGTCCCTTGCAGTTCGTTTATTGAATAAATCAGGCCGTTTCCCCATAGTTTGGATTATGCTAAGTGTATTCTCATTATGCTGTTTCCCATACTGTGAATTTTGCTAATTGTATCTTGTGATGTTGGTTAACTTGCTCTTCACTTTGTTCTCGTTTTTATAAATTAGTAGTTTGATCTCAACACTTTCCAGCAGGCGTCCCAGGGATCATGGATGATAAGGGACACTTTACCTTGGCTAAGGAAAAGCATTTTACTTGCTGGGGAGGTGCCTGTTCTGAAGGCTCTGTGTATAACACAAGAAGTGTATGGGCATCTGCCATAGGTATCGCTCCTCCAACAACAGAAGTTTTTTGTTTGGTCATAAAGCAAGCAGATGCCAAAGTTGTTTCAGGCGTTTTTGATAATACTGGACTTGGATTTAGAGAATTCAAATCTTACGGCTGACTGGCAGCCTGTAGGCTGGCAATCTGCTTGAGCCAGGTACTGGGTTTTAGCGGTTCGGCCTACTGTCTAGGACTCCTGAAGGTAGAACCGCCAGACATAGTAAGGGTTAGCTTCAAGAGGGGTTGGTGGGCCACTACTTGTACTCCCAATTTTCAGAGGTGCCTGAAATTGGATATAGCCCGGGAAACCATGAAGATGCTAGTGGCCAATCTCTGGAAAAAAATTTCGTATTGGAAGCTCTGCTGGATTTCTTATTTCTGACAACTTGCATTCTGGGGGAAAATCAGGTGGTAAGGCCTTGTAATGAGCTGGAAGACCTTAGTGAGTGTGAATGTTTGAGACAGAAATGCTGTTTCTCATCATCTGGGACTGGTAGCTTCAAATGTTATGCTCCATTAAGAGATGAGCTTAAACAGATGATGCGAATGTTTGCGGCTGGTGCAATCAGCCTCATGATCACGGGATTTCTGCCCTTATGTTGCTGCTATCTTTACTGGAGGAGGAAATGGGCAGCAGAGGCCAAAGCTGTTCCAGGCGTTTTTGATAATATTGGACTTGGATTTAGAGAATTCAAATCTTACGGCGGATTGGCAGCCTGCAGGCTGGCAATCTGCTTGGGCAAGGTACTGGGTTTTAGCGGTTCAGCCTACTGTCCAGGACTCCTGTAGGTAGAACCGCCAGACATAGTAAGGGTTAGCGTCAAGAGGGAATACCAGAAGGATTGTTAGGAGGAGAATTTGAAGGGTTCGGAGTTGACAGGTAGGGGTTACAGGCAGAGGCAAGTGGGGCCCAAGGGTTCAGACCTCCACTGGTCATTCTTGGGAGCCAGTTTGAGGTGTGACACATGGTACCAAAAGGTGTGGCCTAAAAGTCTGGCGGCAGTTGGGGTAGTTAGGATAATGATATGGGGTCCCGACCACCTGGGCTGCAGAGACCCTGGCTCGAGTTCCCGGAGGCGGACACTGTCACCTGGCTGGAGAGGTATAGTCGGGTGGGAGTCCTCTGGTCCCGGAACTATGGGGAGAGTACGGTCCACGTGTTCGCTGAGTAAGTGGTGAAGGAGAGAGGTAGGGAAGGTAAGAATCCAGAGGAGGTGGCTGTATCAGGAGATTGTGAGAAACTAGAAAAGGCCTGCCATATAGTAGCTCAAAGGGACTGAGACCCGTTGGCTCCCATGGGGTGGCTCAGATGCGGGCTAGGGCAAGAGGTAGGAGTGTGGGGCAGGGGAGCTTTACCTCTATGGTGAGTTTGGCCAAATGATTCTTGAGGATGCCGTGAGCCCATTCAACTTTACCCGACGACTGAGGGTGGTAGGGGATGTGTAGTTTCCAGGAGATGTTGAGAGACTTGGCAACTAGCTCGATCACCCGGGCTGTCCACACTGGACCGTTGTCTGACTGAATGCTTCCAGGTAAGCCGAAACGAGGGATAATCTCCTGGATTAAGAGGGAGGCCACCATGTCTGCGGTTTCCCTGGAGGTGGGAAAGGCTTCATCCACCCAGAAAAGGTATCTACAAAAACTAAGAGGTAGTGGAGTTTTTTGTGCATGGGCATACGGGTAAAATCAATTTGCCAGTCTTGGGGTGGCAGATGGCCACGCATTTGGTGGGTAGGAAACTGTGGCCTTAAGCTTCCCTGAGGCGAGACCTTCGAGCAGGTAACGCACGCCTTGTGTACCTGCTTAATCGTCTGTTGCAGACCTGGCAAGAAAAAGAGGGGCTGCACGAAACGGTGCAATGCTTTGGGCCCTATATGTAAGGACTGGTGTATTTCAGCAATGATTTTTAAGGCCTGTTCCCTGGGGCAGGGCGATATTGTTGTTCAGGAAAACCCAACCCTGATCAGACTCGGTTCCCCCTGTTAATATGAGGGCCTGTTTCTCTGATGGCGAGTAAATTGGAGGCATGGCCGTGGAGAGAAACAGAACTGGAGTGGGGGCTAGCCTGGTACTGGTTAAGGATTTTGCTGCCACATCTCCCCTTGCATTGCCCCAGGAAACAGCATCCTGCTGGGCCTGATGCCCTCGGCAGTGGATGGCAGCGACTTCTTTGGGCAGTGATAGGGCCTGCAGGAGATTAGAGATATGAGTAGCATTAATTATGGGGGACCCTTTCGTAGTAAGGAATCCCCGCTCTCTCCAAAGGGCAGCGTGGCAGTGGGTAATAAGAAAAGCATACTTTCAATCAGTATAGATATTTGCTCCCTTTCCCTGTGCTAGCGTGAGAGCTCGGGTAAGGCAATGAGCTCTGCCTTTTGTGATGTGGTCCCATCAGGGAGGCGGCATGCCTCGGGGGTGGCTGAGTCGTGACTACTGCATAGGCGGCTTTTCGCCACCCCTTGGGTGTCACCATTGAACTCTCATCTACATAAAAGGTAAGGTCTGGGTTAGGCAAGGGAAGGTCAGACAGGCCCTCCCGAGGCTTAGCAAACGTTATCTATTACTTCAGGGCAGGAAATGGGCTGGGGAGGAGGAATGGGACGGAAGGGGAAACAAGGTAGCTGGGTTGAGTGGAGAAGCGGAATGAAGGCTAGCTGACGGATTTTCAATAAAGAGTAGATGAACCTCCTGTAGGCCAGACGGTCCTAGGAGAAAGAACACCTAGATAGGCTGGCCTTAGGTAAGTTTTAGGGATTCCTTGTAAGTTCTGTTGCCGCCCCCAGGGCCCGCAGGCGAGGCTGCCATCCCTGATTGTGGGATCAAGTTGTTTTGATAAATATGCTACAGGACGATACGCGGGACCTAGCGGTTGGGTTCGGACTCCAACTGCAATCCCTTGTTTCTCGTCAGCAAGCAAGCGGAAGGGATGGTTACGGTCTGGCGGATGAAGTGGAGGTGCCATGGACAGAGCAGTTTGTAGGATTCTGAAAGCTTGTTTTACAACTCCGGGATGAGAGAGGGGTCCTGTGGGTGTGTCCTTAGCTGCCACATACAGAGGTTTAGCTAGAGCGGCAAAGTTAGGTACCCAGTGACGGAAATATCCTACAAATCCTAACAAGGAGAGAATCTGGTCTGCAGTCTCCGGGGGCTGCAACGAAAGAAGTGCTTGCCGGCGGTCGGTTGTTAGGCTTTTAGTTTTGGGGGTGAGGCAAATGCCTAAGTTGACTACTGAGGTGACTGATAACTGTGCTTTAGAGGGAGATATCCGGTACCCCTTGGATCCAAGAACGTTAAGGAGAGTGGCAGTATGTTGTTGAGACACAGAGAGGGAGGGGCTACAAAGGAACAGATCATCCACATACCGGAGAAGGAGACTGGGCTGGAGGGAGCAGGAGTTAAGGTCAGCTGCTAAGGCTTGTCCGAAAATATGGGAGCTGTCCCTAAATCCCTGGGGCAGGACTGTCCAGGTGAGCTGCTGTGACAGGTTAGTGTCAGGATCAGTCCAGGTGAAAGCAAAAAGGAAGACTCTGGGTGAAGGGGAATAGTAAAGAAGGCGTCCTTAAGGTCAAGGACCGTCAAATGAGAGGTAGCGGAGGGAATGTTGGATAATAGAGTGTATGCGTTGGGCATCACTGGGTGGATGGGTACCACCACCTTGCTGGTGAGGCGCAGGGCCTGAACTAGGTGGTAGTCGCCGGTCGGCTTTCGGACCCGTAAGATAGGAGTATTACAAGGGGAACTGGTGGGGATAAGGAGTCCCTGGGCCAGAAGTTGGGTGATGATAGGCTTTAGGCCCTGGCGGTGGGTTTTTGAGATGGGAAACTGAGGACATGAGGGAAAGTGGGTAGAGTTCTTCAGGAGTATTTTAACTGGTGTGTGGTATCTGGCCACCACAGGCTTGGAGGTATCCCATACTGAGGGATTAACTTCCTTAGGAGGGATACGGGGTTTAGGCGAGGGGTTAAGGCAGGGGCTTATACCGGTTAGGAATAGCAGTAGGAGGTGGGCAGAGGATGAGCTTGAACATGGGGGCTGGCGAATTGGAGGGTGGCCCCTACCATCTGGAGAATATCTCGTCCTAAAAGGGGGACTGGGTATGAGGGTATGATTAAAAAGGACTGGGAGAAGGGATGCCCCTCAAGGACACAGGCTAAGGGACCAGTCTGGCTAGGAGAGGACAGCTTTCCATCAATCCCCATGCCTGAAACCTGGGAAGGTATGCTAGGTCCTGAGTAGGAAGGCAGTACAGAATAGGTAGACCCTGTGTCCATTAAAAAGGAAATGGACTTGCCCGCTACCTGCAGCGTTACCCTGGGCTCGGCGAGGGTGATGGGGGTGGTCCTCAAGTCCGGGCTGCATCAGTTGTTCAGAAGGCCAAGAAGTTCAAGCGAAGGGACTGCTTCCTGCGGACCGGCCTGCCCTCCACATAGAGGTGTGGGGGGTGAGCCTTCAGCCCAGGATGGGCAGTCAACCTTCCAGTGTCCAGTCTGTTTGCAGCTTGGGCAGGGCCCAGGAGGTGGATGAGCACAGGGGCACTGCCGTGCCCAGTGTCCCTCCTGGCCACATCTGAAGCAGGGCCCAGGCAGAGCCTTTGACAAATTTTGGGAGGGTTTCGATGGACCCCCTCCACCAGATGTTCGGTGGACTGCCGGCCTCGGGGCTGCTCCAAGAGCTCGGGTTTGGAGGCCTACCTTTTGCTGTAAATGGGCCTGGCGGGTGGCCTCAGCCTGTTCCTCTCGGCCATTGAAAGCTTTAAATGCCGTGTTCACCAGGTCCCGTATGGGCGTTTGGGGGCCTTCCTCAGCTTTCTTCAGTTTCCTCCTTTTATCAGCTGCTGACTGGGAATTGAAGTGGGTGGTTAGGACTGCAGCCCCTGCTAAGGAGGCCGGATCTAGCCGGGTATGGAGGATCATAGCATTAGTTAATCGGTCTAGGAAGGCAGCTGGGTTTTCATCAGGACCTTGAGTTATTTCCCTTAACTTGTCATAATTAACTACCTTCTGAGCTGCGCTCTGCATGCCTGCCAGGAGGCACTGTAACATTTGGTCTCGGCGGCAGCGGCCATCTTGACCAGTTTGATAGTCCCAATTAGGGTCAGCCTCAGGGGATTGCCACCGCGCCTACTGGCATTTGACTGATTGTGAGATGTACCCAATCAGCGTGAGCTCGGGCTGCTGTAAGAATGCGATCATGCTGATCCGGAGTAAGAGTGGAAGATAGGATCACACAGGTGTCATGCCAGGTTAGGTCATACGCCTGGGCGAGATAACGAAATTCTTCGGTGTATGTGGTAGGATTGGTAGAGAATGACCCTAAGCGTTTTTCAATGGCTGACAGATCAGACAGAGAGAAGGGAATGTGCACTCAGACAATGCCTTCTGCTCTGGCTACCTCTCGCAAAGGGGAGAGGAGTGGGGGGGGTCGTGAGAGCGGGTACGAGCACTGACGGGAAGTTATACTAGGGCTTTGGAGAGGAGAAGGAGAAGAGGGAGGAGGGAGTTGAGGCCTTGCATGAGGAGGGGGGTTGGTAAAGCGGGTGGGGCATGACAGGTCTTCTGGGTCTTCGGAGAGTGGGGAGCAGCGCAGGGCTGAGGGCAAAGGCGGGGTTTTGGCTAACAGAACCTGGGAGATGGTACAAGAGGAGCAGAGGGCAGGCTGGGAGCGAAGGTACCAGAAAGCCTGCACATAGGGAACCTCTGACCATTTACCGTTCTTTTGGCAAAAGTTGTCTAGGTCTGTCAGGACCTTCAAGTTGAGCGTGCCCTCTGGAGGCCACTTAAGACTGGCTGTCTAGGGGATATTGTGGCCAGGCCACGGTGGAGAGGAAAAGCAGCCTTTTCTTTTCAATGGAGAGACCTAGCTTGGGTAGATTTTGGACTAGGCATCCTAAAGGCGATTTAGGGTCTGGGCAGGACTTCTGATTGCCCATGGTTCACTCTTGTGGGGTAGTTAGGGGTTAGAAACGAATATGGGAAGGTCTTAGACTCAACACAGGCAGAAGTACTCTTATACTCAACACAGGCAGAAGTACTCCTTTGACGGGGGGAAGGGGTGGCTGAGAGCCTATAGGCTGTAACAATGTAACAACTGTAACAAAGAGAGAGAGAGGGGCCTCAGCAGAAGAGGAGGAAAAAAAGAAAACAGTTACTTAATTAAGGAGAGCTTATATGCCAAAAGGGCTGATCTGAGAACTTGAAATAGACATTTTAGTACAGTAAGCCGGAGATTTGGTCCTGCTGTTAGGCAGGGCTTGGGTTTATAAACAGGGCTTCTGAATACCCAAACCTCGGTGTCCCGGACTGCCCTAGGGAACACCGGAGAGGGTTCAGGAAGATGGGGAAGTCTCTGTCAAATTCCTGACCCCCGGAATCCCCTCAGGGGGAAAAGACGAGAGAGTAAGGAAGTCTCCTCTACGCTCAGGTCCTCGAGACGAGACCAGGGCCCTGGGCCCACGGCCAGAAACGAGGCCGGGACCCCGGGCCCACGGTGACAAGGGAGACGGAGTCCCTGACGCAGCTGGGGTTACGAGCAGGGAGTCCACGAGAATACGCGGGGGTTTAGGAAGGTGGGGATGTCTCCCTTAAATTCCTGACCCCCGGAGTCCCATCGCGGGGAGAAGACAAGAGAGTAGGGACATCTCCTCTGCGCTCAGGTCCTCCAGACGAGACCGGCGCCCCCGGCCCACGGCAAAACGAGACTGGGGCCCCGGGGCCACAGGGAGAGACGAGGAGTCCCTGACGTAGGGAGCAGGGAGTCCACGAGGCAGGCAGCGGGAGAGGCTGTGGGTAACGGAAGGCTTACCTTGCAATGGAGCAGTTCCCTGCTGCCTCGCAACCGAGGGGTCCCCTGGTCCGGCTCCAGGTGAAGGCGTCAGTTTCCCCCAGGAGGGGTCGTACAACTCCCTCCCGGGTTTCGGCACCACTTGTAAAGCTCATTCTCTGTAGATTGATTGCCGAGTTAAAAACGAGGAAACTGAGGCCAGCACAAGAAAATTAGATGCCAATTCCGATTTACTTAGCACCCTGGCCAGGTCCTGATGTCCTGCGGTCCCAGGAAGAGGACCCAGAGAAGTCGCTCCGCTGCCTCTCAGGAGTGGGGTTTTATAGGGAGTGAAGGCATTCGATTGGATTTGGGGAGACAGGATGTGGACAGCGGGAGCTGCTATTGGTAGGGAGGCGGGACTTCCTATGAGCGGGCTAAGTGCTGAGTGCAGAGGAGATTTCCAAGGGTGGGGTTAGGTGCCGAGTGCAGAGGGGATTTCCAAGGCGGGCTAGGAGCCGGGTGCAAAGGGGATTTGCAAGGCGGAGCTAGATGATTGGCATCCTAGTGCAGAGGGGATTCCCAAGGTGGGGCTAGATGATTGACATATTCTAATTTTCCAGCGCGGAGGGAGATGGGCGTGTCCGAACTCCCAGCCCCCAGATTTCCGTGGTTCTAAGGGCCCCCTCTGCAGAGGGACCAGGGAGCCCGCCCCGTATCCCGTGGCGTTGCGCTTGGGGGACCCCAGAGCTCCGGCCAGTCCGCCTCCTTTGCGGATCGTGAAGCTGAGGTGCAGAAGAGGGCAGGGGCAGGTCCCGGGAGCTCCCCGGGCAAAGGGAAGCCAATCTTGGAGCTGGGGTCCAGGGCTCCACTCCTGCCACCTCCAGGGCCCGAGAGCCGGGAGGAGAGACCGGGGCCTTTTGTCCTCCGCTGGGGCCGGGCAGAGGCTCAGCCTGCGCCGCAAGGCGAGGCCGCTTCTGCGCAGTCCGAGCCGCGGCCCCTTTAAGAGGGGGTTGGGCGTCAGCCGGTCGCCAGGGACGCTGCAGCGCGCGGCTCTACGGAAGCCCAGACGGCGCCGCCCCGGGCCGGCAGAAGCCGCTGCGCCTTGGTCAGAGCGAGCGAAAGCGGCGGCGGCGCGGTCCCAGCGAGTTTCGGAGAAGCCGTGGTGGCTTCCACGTGACGGGGGAGCAGGAGGCAGGTTTCCGCGGTAAGTGTCGGGGCACGGACCCCACCGGGACCCCTCCGGGCCTCCCCGCTCCTTCCGCGCCGCTCCCTTTGGGCCCCGACTCCCTGTGAGCCCCTGGGCCCCGCGGCCTGCGCGGCGGCGGTGGCGGGGTCCTGGCCGGGAAGGTGCGCGAGCCGCGTCCAGCGTGTCGGAGCGCCGGGCCCGGAGGCCGCGGCGCCGCGCGGGACCTGGGACCCTCCGAGCCCCGGGGCCTCCGAGCTGCGGTCCGGGGTTATTCCGAAGTCTCGGGACCTTTAGAAAGAGGCCTCGCTGGAGCACAGCAGAGCGGGGGACGTCTGCAGGGTCCGCTCTTTGAGGGATCGCCAGGTATTTAGCTGTTTTCCGTGGTGCGCATTCTGATTTCGCTTTCGTCTGCACTGTATGAGTTCGCTCTTCTCCAAAACCGTACCCGCGTCCCTTTTTTTTTTTTTTTTTTTTTTCCTTTGGAGACAGTCTCGCGATGCCCGGGCTGGAGTGCAGGGGTGCCATCTGGCCTCACTGCAACCTGCGCTCCCGGGTTCAAGCAATCTTCCCGTCTCAGCCTCCTGAGTAGCTGGGACTACAGGGGCCGCCACCACGCCGGGCTAATTTTTGTATCAGTGGTAAAGACGGGGTTTCTCCATATTGATCAGGCTGGTGTCAAACTCTTGACCTCAGGTGGTCTGCTGCCTCGGACTCCCAAAGTTCCGGGATTACTGGCGTGAGCCACCGAGCCTGGCCTCTCCTATTTTTAAAAAAGCTTTGTAGGAATATTCAGTAAATGTGAGATTATCTGTGTGTGGTTTTCACTAAACCACACACAGTAACTTTGTCGGATAGTTAATTTTGAGGACCTTTTATCTGTTGTTCGATTTTATGTCGCAGAATTGTCTGTTCAGGTCCTTTGCGAGATATGAGATTCTTTTGCTACTTTGTAGTGTTTTTTGTGTACACCTTAGATGACAACTCACGAATTACATGATTACCTGAAATTTTGGCCTAATCTATAGGATGCTTTTTTTAAATTTGGAAAGTAGTTTTTTTGCTGTGCAGAAACTTTTCAGGTTGATGTAGTCCATGTTTATTTTTGCGTTTTATGCACGTAATTTTGGTCACCCATGTAAGAAAATACTTCTCAGTGACAAAGCATTTAATTGTCAATGAGGTTTTTCTTCCAGGGTGTGTGTTTCTTTTTCTCTTTGCAAAAGTGAGCAGAGATTCAAGTGACCCAGAATATATGCTCAACCTGTGTTTTAGTTAAAAACATTTTGTGGTTTATGGTCTTTTGTTCAGGTCTTCAGGGTTTTTGTTTGTTTGTTTGTTTGTTTGCGGGAGGGGGTGTTGATTTTCATATATCATGTAAAATCAGGGTCCCGTTTCTCTCGTCTGCATCCAGATGTCATTTTTCTCAAAGGTATTCATTGAGCAGACTCTGCCTTCCACATTGCGGCGGTCTTTATCAAAGGGACTTGACTGTGTCCATATTTGCGTTGATCTTGTTTTGCCCTCCCCGTTTTTGTCCACAGCTCTAGGTATTGTTTTTATACAAGGACCATGTATCTGCTGCATAACGGCAGCTTGGCAGTGTGATTGAATATCGAGGATTGTGGGTCCTCACTTTGATTGTATTTCTCAGGATTCCTTTAGATATGAATTGCTCTTATGGTTCCCTGTGATTTTTAGCAATATGTATTTATTTCGATTAACTTTTTTTCGCAGCATAAAGGTGCATAATTAGGGGTACATTTTCACACATACAGATTGGGTAATGATTAAATCAGGGTATTTAGGATCTCTGTACTATTTTTGTGTGGCGGGAACACTCAAAATTCTCCTTTCTTGTTCTTTTGAAAAATGTAATATTGTGAACTCCAGTCACCAGGCTGAGGAGGAGAACATTCAGATTTATTCCTTTAAGGTTAAGATGACTTTGCTTCCGTAACCAATCCCTACTCCCCCTCTATCTCCCAGACCCTGGTAACCAATATTGCGCTTTCTACCTCTTTAAGATAGACGTCTTAAGATTCAGTGTTTGTCTTTCTTGGCCCAGCTCATTACATTTGACGTAATGTTTTCCAGGTTCATCTGGGTTGCTCCACATGACACTGTTTCATCATTTTGGTGGCCGAAGAATATTCCCTAGTGTATGCATACAAGAGTATGATCCCTTTATCTGTGGATGGACAGGCAGGTTGAATGTATACCCAGTAGTGGGAATCCTAGATGGTATAGTAGTTTTCTTTTCTTTTCTTTGCGGGACCCCCAACTGTTTTTTATAGCATTAATACTAATTTACGTTTCCACAAACAGTTCCCCTTTGTGGAAATTCATACTAGAAGTTGTCTTTTTAAATATTTTAATCTGTTTGTAATGTTCATTCTAGTTGGAGTGAGATAAGATCTGAGTGTGGCTTTGATCTTCATCTTTCTCATGCATAGTAATGGTAACCGCATTTTTGTAAACGTTAGGTCAGTTTCTTGTCTGCACAAATATCTCTTCAGGTTATTTGGTTTGGTTATTTTTCTGCCCCTTTTTTTTTTTTTTTTTTTTTTGGTCCAGCTGGTAGTGTTACTGGCTTGTACCTTTTCAAAAGTAACTCCTTATCTAACCGAATGTTTGCCTAAACTTTTCTTAAAATTTTTAGTATGCTTTTTCATTTTGTTCATTGTTTATTAGGCACAAACTCTTCAGTTTGATGTGGCCCCACCATGTGTATGATTTCTTGGTTAGCTGTGATGTTGGTTACTAATCAAGAAAAAACAAAGTGACTACCAAAGCAGTCCATTCTCCACGATTTTCTTTTCCTTATATTTTTGTTAGTTTTTACAAATGGTGAGCATACATCCAAGTTGCAATAAATATACACACACCTGAGGTTGTCTTTATAGGAGCTTTATGGTTGCAAGTTTTGTGTATAATCTTTAATCGTTTTCAGTTGATTGTTGTGTATTTCATACCATAAGAGTCCTGTGTTACTCTTTTGCATATGGATACCTAGTTTTGAAAACCTTTCCCATTGTGTCAGTTTGGTAGTGTTTTGAAAAATGTGTTCACTCTATATAAATCTGTGTTTATTATTGGACGCCCTCATTTTACTCACTGGTCTGTATTTCTCTGTGTTTACCAGTGACATATGGGTTGGTTAACTAGGGATTTTCATTTAATTAGAACTCAGGGAATGTGATACATGCCACATGGTTTGTGTTTCTCAGGATAACTTTGGAAATTCAGGGTGTTTCACGTTTCCATGAGAATTTTGGCATTGTTTTCTTTATATATCTTAAAACACCATTTGCCATATATAAATGTGTATAATTAGAGGGCACGGGGAAGATTTCGATACGTGTGTATGTTGAGTAATGGTCAAATTGGGTTATTTAGCATCTCTTCACCTCGTATAGTTATGATTTTTTTGTGTGGTAACAGCATTCAGAATATTTTTCGAGCTACTTTGAGACATATGATACATTTGTGTTAAGGCCAATCACCCTGCTGTGGAATAGAAGACCAGAATTGATTGCTGTCATCTGAGGGTAACTTTTTACCCATGACTGATTCCTTCCCATACCCTCTCCATCTTCCCAGTGACCACTAGTAACCCCTATTGAACTTTCTACTTCTAGGAGATGAAGATGTTTTCAGCCTGCATGCCGGAGACCGTGTGGAATGGGACTTTGTCTACCAGGCTCATTTGTTGCATCTGATGTTCTCCAGGTTTCTTCATGCGGCTGCAGATGGCAGGATTTCCCAGAGCTCTATGGCTGGAACGTACTCCGTGGTGTATCCGTACAGCAGTTTCTTCATCCCAGCAGCTGCATGTGGACAGGTAGGCTGGTTCTGTACCCTGGCCACAGTTACAAGTGCCTCAGTACCCACGGAAGGCAGATAGCTCTCTTCAGCCCAGGGATTTCAACTGCTTTAAATGTGGAACCGGTGGTGGGGCTGCCAGCTGACATGGGAGTTGTACCGTGAGGTTTTTCAGGAACCTCCTGCTGTTTCTCATAGTGTGTACACTAGTTTACATCTGCACCAATAGTGTCGAAGAGGTTACCTGTCTGTAAGTCTACAGTGGCTGGCGCCTTCAAAAATTTGTGTTTTGCTCTTGGTGGTATTCATAGCGAGTGGAAGGAGACGGAATGTTAGCGTGGCTTTCATGGACATTTTTGTGAGTATTAGTGATGTGGAGAGAGTCATTTGAGAAATGCCCACGTTGCTTTCCATGGTGTCTGAACTGGTTTGCATTTCCACCAGCAGCAGAGCAGCGTCCCTCTCCTGGGCCTCGCCTGCATTCGCTCTTGTGGACCGTGTCCTGATCGTCATCCTGGCCAGTGTGCAGTACCATCTCGTGGGCCTTCTGCTTTGCCTTTTTCTGATGATGACTGGGGTAGAGAAATGTTGTCATGTCTGTTGGTTGCTGTAAGCCTTCTTTTGAGGTGCATGTGTTCATGCCCCTTGCCCTTTCTTCATGGAGTTTTTGTTTCCCGATTGATTTGCTTAATGTCTTTAAGGTAGATCCTGGACATTAGCCTTCATCAGATGCATGCCTGGGAACATTTTCTCCCGTGTTGCAGGCCGTCTGTTCACTCTGTTGGTCGTTTCTTCTGTGCAGCAGCTCTTCTGTGTATTAGGTACCACTGGGCAATAATTGTTTTAGTTGCACATGCTTTTGGAGACTGAGACAGATCCATGCTGTGCCAAATCCTCGTCAGGAAGGGTGTTTCTAGGTTCTCCTGCAGGCTTTTAATATGTGAGGTCTTGCATTTACATCTTTCATTCATCTTGAGTTTTTGTCTGCACACCGTGAGACACGGGGCCCACTGTTTTTCTTCTGCAGCTGGCTAGTCATTCATGCCAGTGCCATCTATTGAAAGGAGGGAGTCCTTTCTTGAAAGCTTATTTTTGTGGATTTTGAACATCAGATGGTGTTAGGGGTGAGGGTTTACATTTGGGTCCTCTAATCTGTTCCACTGCTCTGTGTGGAATGGGGTCCCTAGCTTTTCAATGAAATTTAACATCGGGAAGTGTGACACGACCAAGGTAGTTGGGATTTCTCAGGATCGCTTTGGAAGTTCAGTGTGTTTTGTGGTCCACATGAATTTTAGCATTGTGTATTTACATCATTTTTTAAAAGGTTGGTCATAAAGTAAAGGTATACAATTGGGGGAGTTAGAGTGGGGCATTTTGATTAGCGCAGACACAGAGGAATGATGAAATCAGGATATTTAGAGGCCCTATTATCAGAAACAGTTGTTAATTTCTTTGTGGTGAAAACATTTGGAATCTCCCAGATTTTGTGAAAAGGGTGTGATGTTGTGTTAACCTCTGGTCACTTGGCTGTGGAACAGCGAGGAACAATTCATTCCTCTCATCTAAGTGTAAGTTTGTGCCTATTTCTGACCTCTGCCCATCCCCCTTCTTCCCTCCAACCTTTAGTAACTATTATTGTGCTTTCTAGACCTGTGCAGTGAAGCCTTTTATTTTGGATCCTACATTGGTTTTTCTATTTCTGCCTGTCTTAGGTCATATACCATGATGTCTTCCAGGTTCAACAGTGTGGCTCCAAGTGATGAAATTTCATTCTGGTTTTCCGGCTGAAGGCGATTCTATTTGTGTACATCCACCAAGTATCCCTTCATCTGCGGATGGGCAGGTAAGTCTATTCTTTGTCTTGGCAATTGTGAATAGTGCTGCAGTCCACATAGGATGGCAGATGCCTCTTGCATGGACTGATTTCTTTTCCCCTGAAAGCATACTTAGTAGTACACTTGTTAGATGAAGGGGTAGGTATAGGTTAAACTTTTGGAGGAACCTCCCACTGGTTTCTGTAGTACGTATACTGATTAACGTTCTTACCAAATGAGTTCCTCTGTGGAAATTTACACCAACGTTTGTGTCTCTTAATGTATTTTATTGCTTTGATAACATCCATATGAATTATAGTGAGATGATGTGTGTTGTTTTGATTTACATCTTTCTCATATTTTGTGATGTTAGATATCTAAGTTTTTAAAACTTGTTTTCAATGTTACGTCTTCTTTGCAGAAATGTGTATTTAGGTTCTTCGGCCCCATTTTGTTTAGTTATTAGTTTCTCTTTTGTGTTTCTGCTAGTAAGTAGTGTTTGTTGCTCAGACATTTTGAAGACAACCTTTCATCAGATGTAGGTTTTCCGAAACCTTTCTTGTAAACTTCAGGGTAATTTTTTATTTTATTTATGGATTTTAAAAAAATCTGCTTGGGCAGAAAGTCTAAGGTATGATGCAGTGCCATGTGTGTCTGTTTTCCTGTTGTCCTTTGATGTAGGTGACCAATGAGGAAAAACAGAATCATGACCAAACTAGTCCATCACCTATGAGTTTTTCCCCCTGTATTTTTTATTTTGTTTTGACGTACTGTGAGCACAGATCCACATTGACCTAAATACACCCACACTGTATGTCTTCTCATTGGAAGAGTTTGATGCATTCAGCTTTTGTTTATGAATCTCTAATTCATTTTGAGGTAAACGTTGGTCATTTTACACAATAGGGGTCCTGTCTTACTTGTGTAGGGATATCCAGTTTTCAAATCCATTTACTAAACAGATTTTCCCTTCTTTGTTGTGTCTGTCTGTGTTCATTCACAGAATGTGTATACTCCCTAGGAATTTGGGTTTGTGATGGAGCTCCCTCATTCTGTCTGTCGGTCTGGGTTTCTCGGTTAGTGCCAGTCATGGATTGTTTAGATAACTGTCTTTTCAATATAATTTCAAAGGGAGGACAGTGATGCATTCCATGTACTTTGTATTTTCAGGGTTGCTTTCAAATTCAGGTGTTTCATGGTTTCATGTAAATTTTAGCGTCATTGGTATCCTTTTTTTAAAAAAAAAAAAAAAAAGAGATTACCGTCGAGTATATGTATATAACTAGAAGATACAGGGGCCATTTTGATATGGGTACACCTAGCATATTGATCAAATCACAATATTTAGCATCTATGAAGTCCTCTAGGTATTATTTGTCTGTGGAGATGATACTCAGAACCCTTTCCAGCTATTTGGAAAATTCGCTGCAATATTAACCCTGGTCACCCTGCTGTGGAAGAGAAGGGCAGGACTGATCTGTTTTCTAAGTGTAACTTTGTACCCATTACCAATCCCTGCCTAGGCCCCCCTTCCCCACAGCCTCTGCTAACCACTGTTAATGAGGTCAAGTGTTTCAGATTCCACATGCATGAGACCATGTAGTATATGCCTTTCTCTGCCTGGCTCATTTCATTTAACATAATGTTCCTCAGGTTTTTCCATGTGGCTGCAAGTGACGAGATTTCGCCCATTTCTATGATTGAAGAATATTCTTCTCTGGATGTATATTGCAATTTCCTCATCCCTTCATCAATGGACGAACGGGTAGGTGCATTTCCTGTCTTGGCTGTCGTGAGTACTGCAGTACGGAGGGAAGGCAGGCATGTCTTCCACATAGGAGTGGGATGCTGGCTAGATGAAATGACGTTTTTGCTTTGAGGCACTTCCAGCTGTTTTTCCTAGTGTGTGTAGACATTGACATTCCCACCAATGGTGTATGAGAAGAGTTTCCCCTTCTGATACTCTATACTAGTTGTTTCCTTTTAAAACTTTTATTTCTGTTTTAGGTATCATTCATTCTATGTGGATGGAAGCTGTATCTCAGTGCGGTTTTCCTTGACATTTTTGTGAGGATTAGCACTTTTGAGAGACTTTTCTTTTACCTGTGAGTCAGTTTCACATCTGCTTTGCAGACACGTCTATTCAGGTCCTTTGCCCAGACTTAGCTGGGGTGTTTGTTTTTGTTTCTGTCTTTGTTTCCCCCCACATGGTAGTGTTAGTTTCTTGCACATATTTTATAACGACCCCTTTCAAAAACAGGATTTTCCCTAGTTTTCTTTCAGTGTGTGAGGCCCCTTCTCTTCTGTTCATTGTTTTCTTTTCGCAGCATAAGATCCGATGTTTTCCGTAGTTCCACGTGTTTACATATTAGTGGTGACTTCCGTGTGCAGTTAAATACAGTGGAAAAGATTGTCAATTCATGGCATTCATTTTCTATGGTTTTTTCCTTCTAATTTTTCTTTTTCTTTTTATATTTCACATTTTGCAACTTGTTCGCATAGATTAGTCTTCTAAACTACGTGCTTACCCTTTGTTCCTGAGGGAAGTAAATGGTTTTAAGATTGAGTTTAGGCCTTCAGTGTCATTTACATCGATTTTTGTCCTATTTCACTGTTTTTTATGTGGTTATCCAGTTTGCTCAAAATCATTTATTACCCATTGTGTCTTTTTGTGTTGTGTTGAAAAATGCATCAGTGTATATTCATTGGGGTGGTGTGTGGGACCCCCTCATTCTGACCATTGGGTAGCCTTTCTGTTTTTATGGCAGTGGCAGGTTGTTTGGATAAATAAAGGTTTTAGTTGCTTTATCATTATGCACACCTAGTAGTACTGTTGTACAGGACCAAGCATAGAAAGTCAACACCAAGACAAAAGTATGTCAAATTGCAGGGTCACTTATTGCCAGCGACCACAGAGGACTCAGTTCTCTCCAACCCGTGGCCCCGAGTTCAGGGGGAGCGGGGTTTTTAAGCTGAAAAACCACATCCTGGTTTCAGGGTGAGGGGATGCAGGGCAAGCAACTTTTCAGCACTTATTGATAAGCAAAAGCAAGCACTTTTCATAGAAGCCAAGGTCAGCAGTTATTGCAAAGAGAATGGGGAAGCCGTTGCAGCTTATTTTAAAAACACCTTTGTCTTTTATAACATGGCATTTCTCAGGTTCTAACTTTTAGGCTAGCCATGTTACATTACCTTTAGTTTCTTGCATATGTGAGATAACAGTTCTTTTCGGATACATGATTTTCTATAATTTTATCCCAATCTGTAGGGTGCCTTTTCTTTGGGTTCATTGTTTTCTCCTTGTTTATAAATTTTTTAATTGTCCTTTGGGAGCAGATGGAGCTCTGAACAAATTGTGCCCGGAGCTTAGAGTAGATGGAGCTCTGAGCGAGATGGAGCTCAGAGTAGATGGTGCTTAGAATGAGGTGGAGCACCAAGCATATGGTGCTCAGGGCAAGATGGAACTTCAGTGATTGTAGCTCAGAACAGAAGGAGCTCGCAGAAGATGTTGCTCCAAGCAGATGGTGCTCAGAGTAAGAAGGACCTAAGAGTGATTAGAACTCTGAGAAAGATAATGCTCTCTGCTCATGGTGCTTAGAGAGAGACAGAGCTCAGGGTGATTGCTCTGAGAGATTAGAGCTCTGAGCAGATGGTGCTCAGAGCAAGATGGAGCTCAGGGTGATTAGCTCTGAGAGATTGGAGCTCTGAGCGGATGGTGCTCAGGAGCAAGATGGAGCTCAGGGTGATTGCTCTGAGAGACTTGGAGCTCTGAGCGGATGGTGCTCGGAGCAAGGATGGAGCTCAGGGTGATTGGCTCTGAGCAAGATTGGAGCTCTGAGCGGATGATTGCTCTGAGCAGACTGGAGCTCTGAGCGTGATGTGCTCTGAGCAAGACTGGAGCTCTGAGCGGATGATTGCTCTGAGCAGACTGGAGCTCTGAGGGATGGTGCTCGGAGCAAGACTGGAGCTGAGGGTGATTGCTCTGAGAGACTGGAGCTCTGAGCGGATGTGCTCGGAGCAAGACGGAGCTCAGGGTGATTGCTCTGAGAGACTGGAGCTCTGAGCGGATGGTGCTCGGAGCAAGACGGAGCTGAGGGTGATTGCTCTGAGAGACTGGAGCTCTGAGCGGATGGTGCTCGGAGCAAGACGGAGCTGAGGGTGATTGCTCTGAGAGACTGGAGCTCTGAGCGGATGGTGCTCGGAGCAAGACGGAGCTGAGGGTGATTGCTCTGAGAGACTGGAGCTCTGAGCGGATGGTGCTCGGAGCAAGACGGAGCTCAGGGTGATTGCTCTGAGAGACTGGAGCTCTGAGCGGATGTGCTCGGAGCAAGACGGAGCTCAGGGTGATTGCTCTGTGGGACTGGAGCTCTGAGCGGATGTGCTCGGAGCAAGACGGAGCTCAGGGTGATTGCTCTGAGAGACTGGAGCTCTGAGCGGATGTGCTCGGAGCAAGACGGAGCTCAGGGTGATTGCTCTGAGAGATTGGAGCTCTGAGCGGATGTGCTCGGAGCAAGACGGAGCTCAGGGTGATTGGCGCTTTGAGCACAATGGGGCTTGGAGCAGATGCAGCTCTGAGCAACATTTAGCTCGGAAAACATGTTGCTCATAGCAAGATGGAGCTTGAGCAGATGGTGCTCAGAGCAAAATGAAGCTGGAAGTGAATGGTGCTCTCAGCAAGATGGAGCTTGGAGCAGATGGATCTCTGAGCAACGTGGAGCTTGGAACAGATGGAGCTCTAAGAAAAATTGAGCTTGGAGCAAATGTTGCTCGGTTTCAGATGGAGCTCAGAGCGAGAGGGAGCTCAGAGAACCTGCTGCTCACAGTAAGATGGTGCTTGGAGCAGATGGTGGTCAGAGCAGAATGGAGCTGGAAGTGATTGGAGATCTCAGTGAGATGGAGCTCGGAGAAGTTGGAGCTCTGAGCAGATGAAGCTCTGATCAGAGGGTGTCAGAGCAACATGGAGTTTGGAGTGATTGGAGGTCTGAGAAAGATGGAGCTTGGAGCAAATGGAGCTTCAAGTGGATGGTGCTCAGAGCAAGATGGAGCTTGGAATGTTTGGAGCTCCGAACCAGATGGAGCTCAGATCAGATAGACCTCCAAGATAGACCTCTGAGCAAGAAGGAGCTCCAAGCAAGATGGAGCCTGGAGCAGGTATTGCTGGTATAAGGTAGAGCTCCGAGCAGATGGTGCTCAGAGCGAGAGGGAGCGCGGAGTGATTGGCACTCTGAACGTTGCTCTGAGCAATTGGAGCTCTGCGCAAGATGCAGCTTGGAGCAGATAGAGCATAAAGGAGCTCTGAGCAGAAAGGAGCTCTAAACAAAATGGAGTTTGGAGGAGATGTTGCTAGGTTTTAGTTGGGGCTCAGAGCACATGTTGCTCAGAGTAAGATGAGGTCCAACCAGGTGCTGCTCAGAGCAAAATGGAGCTGGAAGTGATTGGAGCTCCCAGCAAGACGGAGCTCAGAGTGATTGGAACTCCATGCAAGATGGAGCTCAGAGTAGATGGATCTCTGACTAGATGGCGCTCCAGGTAAGGTAAATGTCTATGCAGATGGCGCTCAGAGCAAGATAGTGCTTGGAGTGGTTGGAGCTGCAAGCAAGGTGGAGCTTGGAGCAGATGGAGCTCTGAGCAAGAAGGAGCTTGGAGCAGATAAGAGTTTGGAGCAAGAAGCAGCTTTGTTGCAGCAGATGTCACTCAGTGTGAGGTGGAGCTCAGAGAAGATGCTCTCACAACAAGATTGAGCTCAGAGTGATGGGCACTCCACACATTGCTCTGAGCCATTGGAGCTCTAAGCAGATCGTGCTCAGAGCAAGATGGAGCTCTGAGTGATGGGAGCTCCTAGCAAGATTGAGCTTAGAGCAGACGGACTTCTAAGCAAGACGGAAGTCAGAGATGGTGCTCACAGAAAGATGGAGCTCTGTGCAGACAGCACTCAGGGCATAAACACTCAGCATTTGTGTTCACAATCTTCACGGGAGGAAATTCTAGCAGATTTGAGTACCAAACTTCTAGTGAAGGGACAGACCCATTGGCCACATACACTATGATGCCAGTCCTAGAATCACCTTGCAGTGGAAAGTTTAATGACAGTTTAGGTCTCAATAGAATATAGAATCCAAGAGAAGACTTAAGGATTCCTACCGTATCAAGCTCATTGTCTTCAAATAGCAGAATGGAGAACTGCTTGTCTAAGGGTAGTTCTAGTATCTCTTCCTTTGGTTTTCACATTTCTAATACACTTCTTGTATTTTTCTGTTAACATATCTGGGCAGGTCCAGGAGCACATTAGAGATCTTATAAACCAGGCCTCTCACCTTTGGGAAAGGGCTACTAAGGGTTGGTTGTGCTGGGTGTCACCTGGACTTCATTCTCATAGCTCTTCCCTTTCCTGGGACCCTTGACCTCTCCCTTCCTTCTCCTTTTTAAGCCTTGCGTTCTGAATCTTCTCAGTTTATTTGCTCCCACCTAGAAACCATCAGACTTCACATGATCTTGTGGTGGGGATATCAACCTCTTTCTTTCCCTCAAGGACAACCAAGGTCTCCTCTGGACACCACGAGTCAGACCTTCCAAGAGACAGCAGCAGTCATCAAAACCTCCTCACCATGACAGCAAGCAAGGAGGAAGGATCCTGAAGACCCTCGCTGGCCCCTCTCAGCAGGAAGTCGCTACAGAGAATGACCTCTGCCCCATCTACCAAAAGATTTCTGGGTCCCAACTCCGGAGGAAGCAATGTAAGGGCGGACAGTCAGATGTGAGCAGGCACGAGAGGGAGGTATCCATGTTGGAAAGAACTCCCCGGAGCACCTCTCTGTTTGCCCAGTCCTCACTCCGTGGTCCAGCTGTCAGAATGTTGTTAACTAGATCCTGGTAAGGAAGGAAAAGGGCAGAAGGGGGATTCCTGAGAGCTGAGCAGGCACAGTGGGCACAAAATGGAATGCCCTACCTTCCTGGGGTGGCAGTAAGAAGCAGTGCCACCATTAGACAGGGTTCGTATTGATGACTGGTTCCCGTGCATGTGTATTAAGCACGGTAAGGGAGGATCCCAGACTTCGGTGAGAACTGGGTAAAGAAAGAACGGAGGCAGCAGAAGATCCCAGTGCACAATGCCACGGGGGTGTCTCCAGCAGGGCCAGCCCACTCCTCTCCTGAAGTGTACTTGTACTTCCCAAATAAACTTTTCTTGCTTTACAAATTGGTCCTTTGGGTAAATTCTTTCTTCCAAAAAGACAACCAAGGATCGCCCGGATCAGTAACATTGTCATGGGATGTCACTCATAGTAAGTCTGTTTCTGAGGATCTCAAAGTGAATTCAATAATGAAAAGGTGTATTGATGATAAGAGTTGGTAAGAAAAAAAAACAATTCAATAATAATTGACTTACCTAAGAAATTTGTCTAGGGTTTGGCTGATTTTCAACTGTGGGAAAATCCCAGAAGCCAGGTACAGTGGTGCACAACTGTAGTCCCAGCTACTCCAGAGGGTGAGGCAGGAGAGCCCAGGAATTCAAGGCTGTATTGTGAAATATGGTGCCAGTGAATAGCCTCTCTCTCACTTCAGCCTGGGCAACATAGCATGACCCTGTGTCTCAGAAAGATTACAACAATTATAAAACATTTGTTTCAACAGAAATGTAACTTTTTTGTGTCTCATTATTTTAAAAATTCAGTCAGTGCACTTTAACTTATCATTTTGATGGTGTTTTTATGATCTTGACACCCAGGAAAGTAATATAGGCCCATGCGAAATGAGGCCTCAACCTTCTGTCTTTACCTGGGTTCATGTCCTAGCACATCGTAGAAGAGCAAATCGTGATGTTTTTGGGTTTTTTGTTTGTTTGTTTGTTTGTTTGTTTGTTTTGAGACGGAGTTTCGCTCTTGTTACCCAGGCTGGAGTGGAATGGCGCGATCTCGGCTCACCGCAACCTCCGCCTCCTGGGTTCAGGCAATTCTCCTGCCTCAGCCTCCTGAGTAGCTGGGATTACAGGCACGTGCCACCATGCCCAGCTAATTTTTTGTATTTTTAGTAGAGACGGGGTTTCACCGTGTTGACCAGGATGGTCTCGATCTCTTGACCTCGTGATCCACCCGCCTCGGCCTCCCAAAGTGCTAGGATTACAGACTTGAGCCACCGTGCCCGGCCTAAATCGTGATGTTTTTAAGAAAGCATTGCAGCAGATAAAAGAGAACAAATTAAATGAATGTTCTAATACGTTAATTACAAACTAGCTGGCTGATTTTTAAAAAGTCAATATATTGCTTTGTGTTATTTCTCTGAGTATACCCATATCTATGTGCCCATGAAATGTTGGTATGCCTCCATTGAGACTTCTTGTTTTTTCTCCTTATTTATGTAAAATATAACATACCATTTAGTGGCATTAAGTAAAGTGGCAGAACATACAATATTTTGGTTTTCCATTTGAATTACTTCACTTAGAATAATGGCCTCCAGCTCCATCCAAGTCGCTGCAAAAGACGTGATTCCATCCCTTTTTATGGCTGAGTGTATATCCCACGGTGTATATACAGCACAGTTTCTGTATGCACTCATCAGTGACGGGCACTTAGGTTGGTTCCATATCTTTGCAATTGCAAATCATGCTATAAACATGCATTTGCACGCGTCTTTGTGTCTCTTTTGATGTGACTACTTCTTTTCCTTTGGGTAGATACCCAGTAGTGGGATTGCTGGATAAAACGGTAGTTCTACTTTCACTTCTTTAAGGACTCCCTGTGCTGTTTTCCATACTGGTTGTACTAATTGACGTTCCCACCAGTCGTGTAAAAGTGTTCCCTCTTCACATTCAAGCTGACACTGTTTTTCAACTTTTTAATTGTGGCAGTTCTTGCAGGAGTAAGGTTGTATCTCATTGTGGATTTCGTTTGCATTTCCTTGATTAGTGATGTTAGTGCCCTTTAAATAGAAACTTCAGTAGTTTCTTTGTTTCATTCTCCATATGAGACCACAACAAGACAGCTAAATTTCTATTTATTTTTATTTTGACAGGAAGTCTCCCTCTTGCCCAGGCTGGAGTGCAGTGGCACGATCTTTGCTCACTGTAACCTCCACCTCCAGGGTTCAAGCAGTTCTCTCGTCTCAGCCTCCGGAGTAGTTGGGACTATAGGTGCCTGCCACCATGCCCAGCGAATTTTTGTCTTTTTAGTAGAGACAGGGTTTCACCATATTGGTCAGGCAGGTCTCCAACTCCTGACTTTAGGCGATCCGCCCACCTCAGCCTCCCAGAGTGCTGGGATTACAGGCGTCAACCACTGCTCCCAGCCAAGGCCACAGCAAGACATCTGTGAACCCTCACCAGACACCAAATTTTTTGGTGAGTTGATGTTAAATTCCCAGCCTCCAGAACTCTAATAATGTCTGTTGTTTATAACCTACCCAGTTTATGACATTTAGTTAGAGCAGCCTGAATGGGCTAAAATGGTATGTGTGTAAATTGCCTTCTTAGCACTGTTTGCTTGAATCTGTAAGTTTTTGGTATGTTATGTTTTTTATTTCTTTTATCTCAAGATTTTCTGACTTCCCTTGTGATATCTTTTTTGATACACTGGCTAGTTAAGAGTATGTTGTTGGCCGGGCGCGGTGGCTCAAGCCTGTAATCCCAGCACTTTGGGAGGCCGAGGTGGGTGGATCACGAAGTCGAGAGATCGAGACCATCCTGGTCAACATGGTGAAACCCCGTCTCTACTAAAAATACAAAAACATTAGCTGGGCGTGGTGGCGCGTGCCTGTAATCCCAGCTACTCAGGAGGCTGAGGCAGGCCAGGAGGCGGAGGTTGCGGTGAGCCGAGATCGTGTCATTGCACTCCAGCCTGGTAACGATAGCAAAACTCCGTCTCAAAAAAAAAAAAAAAAAAATAGCCAGGCATGGTGGCAGGCACCTGTAATCCCAGATTCTTGGGAGGCTGAGGCAGGAGAATCACTTGAACCTGGGAGGCAGAGGTTGCAGTGAGCCAAGATCACACTATTATACTCCAGCCTGTGTGACAGAGTGAGACTCTGTCTCAAAAAAAAAAAAGTGGGATATTAAAGTCTCCAACTGTTTTTGTAGAACTGTATATTTCTTCTTTAAATTTTGTCAGTTTACTTGATGTATTTTAGGGCTGAAAAGTTTATAACATATGTGTTTATGATTATTGTTTCCTTGGTGAATTGGCCCTTCTATTAATGTAATAAATTTCCTTCTTTATCTTTTGCAATTTTTTTTGACATAAAGTTTATTTTGTCTGATATTAGTATAACAACCCAAGCTCTCTTTTAGTTACTATTTGTGGAGAATATATTTTCCATCCTTTAACTTTCTTCTTTTTTTTTTTTTTTTTTTTTTTTTTTTTTTTTTTGAGACGGAGTTTCGCTCGTTACCCAGGCTGGAGTGCAATGGCGCGATCTCGGCTCACCGCAACCTCCGCCTCCTGGGCTCAGGCAATTCTCCTGCCTCAGCCTCCTAAGTAGCTGGGATTACAGGCACGCGCCACCACGCCCAGCTAGTTTTTTGTATTTTTAGTAGAGACGGGGTTTCACTATGTTGACCAAGATGGTCTTGATCTCTCGACCTCGTGATCCACCCGCCTCGGCCTCCCAAAGTGCTGGGATTACAGGCTTGAGCCACCGCGCCCGGCCTAAAACGAGTCTTTTGTAGACGGTGTATATTTGGATCATGTTTTCTTATTAGTTTATCCAATTCCTGCCTTTGGATTAGTGAGTTTATTCCATTTACATTTAATTATTGACAAGGAAGGACTTCTGCCATTTTGCTATTGGTCTTTTGTGTGGCTTAATATTTTCTGACCCTCATTGCCTTTGTAAGTGCCTTCTTTTATTTTTTTTTGTAGTGACACATTTTATTCCCCTCTGATTTCTTTTTGTTTATATTCTATAGACATTTTCTTCATAGTTACTATGAATATTACATGCAACATCCAAGGGTTCTAACGATCTAATTTGAATGAACACCTACTTCAGTTGCATATAAAAACTCAGCCAGGGCAACATGGTGAAACACCATTTCTACTAAAAATACAAAAATTAGCTGGGTGTGGTGGCATCTGCCTGTAATCTCAGCTACTCAGGAGGCTGAGGTAGAAGAATGACTTTAACCTGGGAGGCGGAGGTTGCAGTGAGCCAAGATCTCACCATTGCACTCCACCCTGGCAGCAGAGCAAGCCTCCATCTGAAAAAAAAAAACAACAAAAAACGTATAGTTCAGTCTTCCATATATTGATACAATCTTGTGCCTGTCAACTCAGTCCATAAAGGCACTTATCTTGATCTAGCATCACAAGTGGAAAACATTATTACTTGCCATAAACAGAAGGCAATTATAATCGTAACTACAGGTTGAAAAACAATTTCTCATATACTACTAAAATCCTATTCCCATTGAAAGCTCTGGTTCTGAAGTGTATCTTCTTCACGGGACTTCCAGAGAGTTCAAAGCATGTCAGCACTAAACTAAGAATCAACCTGATACACTGAGAACAATTGGAGGTGAATCCAAACAGGGATGTGATTCAGTGTTTTTAAAATGATTTTTCAGATAGCTCTTAAAACCATTTCATGTTCCACAAGAGATATTGCTTAGGGGTCAAGTGACTAGGTTGTGAAGCAAGAATCAAACTTAAATACCAACCGTTAAGTGACTTTGAGCAAGTGGATACGCCTCTTTGAGCATAAGGGTTTTTGTTTTGTTTTGTTTTGTATTTTTACTTAAAATGAACTAAAAAAGGTGCTATGTATGGTCTTCAACAAAACCATGTATGCAAATGTATGTAGCAACTTTACTCAAAGTAGCCACAACCTGGAGGCAACCCAGATGCCTTTTAATAGGTAAATAGTTAAAAACTGAGCTACACCCACAACATGGAATACTGTTCTGCAGTAGAAAGGATCAGGGCCAGGCGTGGTGGCTCATGTCCGTAATCCAGCACTTCAGGAGGCCAAGACAGGTGGATCATGAGGTCAGGAGATCAAGACCAGCCCGGCCAAAATGGTGAAACCTCGTCTCTACTAAAAATACAAAAATTAGCCAGGCATGGTGGCAGGTGCCTGTAATTCCAGCTACTCAGGAGGCCGAGGCAGAGAATTACTTGAACCCAAGAGGTAGAGGTTGTAGGGAGCCAAGATCACGCAACTGCACTCCAGCCTGGGTAACAGAGGGAGACTCAGTTTCCTAAATAAATG